GCAACAAGACTGTCAAGAATCTTCTCTCGTTGTCTTCCTCTATCCCTCCTTCCACAGATCTTTCCAGTGGTCACCACATATTCCATTTTCTCTCTTTTCATAACATGGCCGAAAAATGATGACTGTCTCTTTCTTGGCATTCCAAGATATTTTAAGCATTGTTCTGTAAAACCACATCTCTGAGGCCTCAAGAAATTGTTTAGCCTGTCTACTAGTAGTGCAGGAGTCACAACGCATTGCCTTTAATAAAAGTGCTTACTTGACGAGGCTAACATTTTCCACTTTAAATTTTCAGCCAAAATGTAATCACAACTTTACTTATCCGCTGCACCTTCACGAATACAGATGGAGGATCGGTCCACCTTGAGATAAATACAAATACAGTTTTTAGCACGCTGCGATTGGCATTTTCTGCAGTATGATACACTTTGAGTGTGAAACAAGGAAAAAATTAAACTCTTTTCGACATTGGCGAGGAAAGGAAAATTAAATTTTAAATTTCAAGTATATTCATGACTTTATTAATAATGTCACAATTTTTAGCCGACTTTTCGTAATTTTTCCCATGGCACCCCTGGCATACACACCCTGTTTGAGTACCTCTGTTGTTATGCCTCGGTCGAATCAGCAGGCAAAGAACTTGTCAGCTGCTGTACAATGCAACCGGGTCGCAGTTAGCCCCGCTACGACAGACTTAGGCAACAGCAACTATTGTGCTAATGAGAGAGTTATTTCAGTCCATCGCAGTGTATGCAGAAACGTATGTAAAGTAACCACTATTCGGTATTCGGCCATACCGCAAGTATTCGGCCCAATACCGAATAGTTATTAGATCCACTATTTTGCCCCGAAGCGAATACGAAGCGAATATTCGGTGCAGCCCTAATATATATATATATATATGCCTGGCAGTATATCTGTGTCTTTTTCTTGTACGTGTTTGAAAGTGTTTGCATCTATATTCTCCCCCACCCCACTTTTTTGCTGTGCCATCCTTAAGTGTGTCTCTGTGTGTGTTTGCATTCTGTTTCTTTATTTTGTTTTAACTGTTGCACTGTGGCCAGTATCTCGAGTAGTTTTACTAAGTACAGTCTCTGCACTCATTACACGCTCATACACCCTCGGTCACATTAAGCAGATTCAAGAACTGAGATCACAGCACTCGGGGCATTCCCATAAGCGCTCCGTCCCCATCTTCAGCAGCCGAGTACCAATAGTGCCAGTAGTAGTCTGATTATATGTCTTGTTTGCCTTTTCTCTGAGCGTCCAGTGTCGGCCAAAGCCCCTCGTCACTCCTCGCTGCATAACTCTCACCAGACTGTGATGATCAATTTGCTGGGCACGTAACTCCTAATCGAAATGTACACGTACTCCCATAAGGCCTCAGTCACGTCTGCCTTATCATGAATCAGTATTTCACCAAGTTGTGCAGAGCCAGCCAACCTTTTCGTTTGTTCATTTCCCAACACACCGGCATTCCCGGAGAGAAGATCCAGTCAATACTACTCACCCATGACCTTCGAAGTGAAGCAATCCACTCTGCACGCAACATTCCTGTCCTCTACTTCCTCGGCATGCATTCTGAGTCAGTTACAATCACGATGTGTTTGGATGTGTGTGTATCTCGTGTTCTCTTACCAGCCGAAAGCTGCAGTGACCAAAAGCATATGAAGCTGTACTAACAGAAGAAGGGGGAAACCTGGAAGAACTAAGAAAATATTCGATGAGTTGCTGAGTTTAAAACACAAATGGAAAGATTCATAAATAGCGGCAGCTTGAAACTTAACGCTCACTGGGCTTTGTAGTTGATGTCCTTCTGTTCCACACTATAATGTAATCAGTAATACAGCCCTGTTTAATTAACTTGAAAAGAATATAAAACCTAAAAAAAAGTAGATCAGCGAGCTTCACAATCCAAAAAATGAAACGTGAACGTTGCGGCTATAGAGTCTTTATCAGCACATACATAAACAAAACCACACAAATACAAAAAAAAAAAAATAACTTACGTATCCCGAAGCCCCCCGTGTGGGTTCCGGGGCCCCATTGTGGGTGAAACAAGAAAAGACCCACTGCCTCCCCAAAAGCATGTCGTAAGAGTCGACTAATTGGGGAGCTTCCTTTGAAGTCGGAGTGCATCTGCCGGAGAGGCAAGGAACCAACAGTCTGTATTCAAGAGAATGAGAAAACATAACTTACGTATCTCGAAGCCCCCCGTGTGGGTTCCGGGGCCCCATTGTGGGGGAAACGAGAATAGACCCACTGCCTCCCCAAAAGCATGTCGTAAGAGTCGACTAATTGGGGATCTTCCTTTGAAGTCGGAGTGCATCTGCCGGAGAGGCAAGGAACCAACAGTCTGTTTTCAAGAGAATGAGATCTGTAAAACTGTTGCACACGCAACACTCAGGTTCTGGATCAGGACTGCAGTTCAGTAGTGGATGAGCAACCAGAACTTTCCGCCAGAGTGTACAGCTGGTGAACGCAAAGAAGAAGAAGAAGTATCCCGAAGCAGTCACGTCAGTGAAGTGTAATTAGCTGTTGCACGATCGAAAAGTAGGTATACAAGTATGATTTGTTGGGTTAAGTATACCCTAGTATAGGTATTTTTTTGGGGTGGGGGAGGGGGTCCTACTTTGTGTACATGGTTTCTTTCAGAAAGGCTATGTGCACTTTATTTTCTGGCAATTCTTTACAAGATCTGTCGTGTTTTTTTTTTTATTTTTAATTTTTTTTTTTTAAACTGTTGTAGTTGATGTGTGTATCTATGTGTGCGTGCGTGCGTGAGTGTGTGTGTGTGTGTGTGGGGGGGGGGGAGATATATCCATCTCTTTGAAATTTGATTCAGAAGTATGTATTCACAATATACATGCACTGTCAATTTTTCTTTGACAGGCTCGAAGTGCTGCAAACAGAGTCCTATCTCAGAGTAGCCTTAGACAAGAGGCACCTCCTGTATGAAACTTTAGACAGAGCTAATAGCCACTGACTGAAAGAAGAAAGGTCTTGGATGGGACAAGCTGAAAACACAATTAGACATGTGTGCAGGCTTGAGAACAATGGGCGAGGAGAGGAGTGGGTCAGTGTCCAAGCAAAAACCAGATTTCTGCAGTGTTCTAATCATATTAGGACGTGGGTGTCGGGACTGACCAGCAGGCGCTGTAGAATCAAGTTCAACAAATGATTCGTGATATTTCCCGTCCAGGTGATGCGATTATCTATACAGATGGATCTATGTTGAGAGGCAGGCTGGCGGCATCAGGACAGGAAGAGATCTCTGGAACTGACCCTTCTGTTCGCTTCGTATAAAGTACTTTTCAGTGTCTCTGATATTTCTGCGGTATACGCTCTACGTGGTCGACCTCTGGACTGTTAACGCTGTATATGTATAGCATCACTCTCTGTGGTGACCTGTCTGCTGCCAATCTTGTTACCCATTTGATTTGTTGTCTACCTATTAAGTTCAGTATTGATTCTGTGCTGACTCTACTCCTGATATTATCGTTCCTAAGTCGATCTTTTCTCGTTACACCTAGCATAGTACGTAAACATTTCATTTCTGTCGTGACTATTTTCCTTCAGTCTTCTGAAGACGGTGTCCGTGTTTGACAGTGATAGCATAGCGTTCGTAAAAATTTTCTGTTGAACAGTCTTCTGTTAGTGTTCACATTCATATGCTTGCATTTCAAAATTGGTTCGATTTGGCCTAATACTTGACTGGCTTTATGTCTATTGGTCTACGAATGCGACGTGTAATTCTTTATTGAATTATACCGTCCTTTCCACTAATTGTCTAAGTGTGAATATTGCATCAGTGCAACTTCTTTTCCTCCGAAAACTAACTTATCTATCCAGTCATCTTCCTGTGAGATGCAATGTTTCGTTATTTGAAGCCCTACGCTGGCTCTTGCCAGGGGATGCAATTTAACCTGGCCATAAATATGGTCCTATGGCTGAACGCGGTTTCTGGGACCTCTCCACGGGTGATCCTCATCCACATGGTGGCACTTTGTGTCATCGGGTGTTTATGGCTTGTGTGATGTCCTAGTGGGGTAAAAGAAGATAGACAGAACCGAAAACTATTACACCGAGGGAATAATAGATCTAACATGTTAATGATACAGTGTTAGTAAAATTGTCTAATTATTCATAGTGCAATTTCTATCATAATTGCAAAACAAATGAAAGTAATATGTGCAACAGAATAAATTATATATGTCTCAAGTAAATAATTACACGAGATAGGCCCATAAATATAGAATAACAAATATTTACTATGAGAACTCGATTAACACTATATACTACTACTACTACTACTACTACTACTACTACTACTACTACTACTACTACTACTACTGCTGCTGCTGCTGCTGCTGCTGCTGCTACTACTACTACTACTACTACTACTACTGCTGCTGCTGCTGTTGCTACTACTACTACTACTACTACTACTACTACTACTACTACTACTACTACTAGTATTGTTGTACTTCTGATTTAATTTCCAGTTCTCTGAACCTCAGAACCTTTGTATGTGATTTTTTCCCCCTTTTCGCTGACTTCTTCTTCTTCGTGTTCACTGGCTGTAAACTCCAAGGGGGGGGGGGGGGGGGGGGGGGGTTGTTGTTGATCTATCTCTGTACTTAAGTCTTGTTCCAGAACCTGAGTGTTGCAGATGCAAGATTTGTAGGCAGATTTTTTTTTTTAGCCTCTCAAGCCGACTCCGAAGGAAGCTACCAACTAGTCCACTCTTACGACATGATTGTTGGGGGGTTGGGGGTTTATTCTTGTTCTCGCCCCCCACCACCACCACCACCACCATACACACAACAGGGCCCCGGAACCCATATTGGGATCATTGGCTGTATTTAGGCGAGTTCATTGGTAGACCTTTTTCTGTGTGTGAAATGGAAATGCGTAAACTATCTGGCCAGTAAACTTCAATCAGTCAAAACAAAAATCGAGCAGACGAAGGTTCAAGAGAGTTGGAGAACATCATCAACATGGACATCCAGGAAAGCCCAAGGATCCACCCTAAAGACGGGGTTACCAAAGGGGAAGAGGCAACAGTACTTATTAGCTCAGTAAATGTTTGGAAGTAAGAGGTTTTCTTCATTTCGAACAGAAAGATACGTTTATATTATTTCGGTTAGTAAACTCGGTCACACGACAGTTATATTCTAACAAAACAGATGTTCAGAGGGAATTTGGACTTTGGTCTGTTATTGAGCTGTGCTGACTTGTTTCAAGGAAACTGTTTCAAGGCTGCTGTTTCATTGCTGACATCAGGATATGTTTTTTTTTTCTCTAAGTGTGAGAGTGTGTAGGTTTGCTTTGTGAGAAATCTTTAAGATTTTCTCTGCTTATGAGAGTACAGCTGTATATATTATTATTATACTATATATCCTTTGTCTGCTTGTAAGAAAGCCGTTTTATGTAAACTTTCTCAGCTTGTTATAGAGTGTTGTCTGCTTTTTGACATTGCTGACTATAGCAGTGCAGAGGTTAAACAAACACAGCTAAGAGATTATGATACAGTAAACTAATAAAAGTGAACACGCATTTTCCCTCTGGTAGCATGAATCATGGACCATTTCACAATCACTCTACAGAAGAAAATTGGTGCTGTTGAACTTACATGTTTCAAACTTTTTTTTTTAAAGAAAACCGTTGATCAAGAAGACTAAAAATACTGACGTTCTACAAAATATGAACATCAGAAAAAACTTAAACCAATCATGATTCTAAAGCTGAAATAAATTGGCCATAGTAAATATCAAAGCAGCAGGACTGTGTATTACACCTGGCTAGTGTGACAGTTATGGGTGTCCTACTGATAACTACTGTGGAGGTTGAACAGGATACCTGCAATCTGCCTTTTGAACAGGATACCTGCAATCTATCTTTTGAACAGGATACCTGCAATCTGCCTTTTGAACAGGATACCTGCAATCTATCTTTTGAACAGGATACCTGCAATCTATCTTTTGAACAGGATACCTGCAATCTATCTTTTGAACAGGATACCTGCAATCTATCTTTTGAACAGGATACCTGCAATCTATCTGCAAAATCTATCTTTTGAACAGGATACCTGCAATCTATCTTTTGAACAGGATACCTGCAAACTATCTTTTGAACAGGATACCTGCAATCTATCTTTTGAACAGGATACCTGCAATCTATCTTTTGAACAGGATACCTGCAATCTATCTTTTGAACAGGATACCTGCAATCTATCTTTTGAACAGGATACCTGCAATCTATCTTTTGAACAGGATACCTGCAATCTATCTTTTGAACAGGATACCTGCAATCTATCTTTTGAACAGGATACCTGCAATCTATCTTTTGAACAGGATACCTGCAATCTATCTTTGAACAGGATTTGAACAGGATACCTGCAATCTATCTTTTGAAATCAGGATACTTGCAATCTATCTTTTGAACAGGATACCTGCAATCTATCTTTTGAACAGGATACCTTTGCAATCCTATCTTTTTGAACAGGATAGAAATCCTGCAGGATACTGCATCTTTTTGAACAGGATACCTGCAATCTATCTTTTGAACAAGATACTTGCAATCTGTCTTGTTGGTCTGCAGTCCAGACTGAGATTTTTAAGTTTCAGATGGTAGGGTTAACTTTTAGGTAGCAGCCCAGAAGTGACAAATTGATTGATTGATCATTCAGAGTAGTTTAGAAAAAATATACATGGTCATGGAGGGCATGATTTCTGGAAGAAGAGGGAAGGGTTGGCCCAGAAAAATGTGGTCATGGGACAATAAATATACCTTGGACATAAAAATACAAGAAGCAGAAGAACAAGAAAAAGATAAAGAGTCTTTTAGTGTCTTCTTCTTCTCCTCTAATCCTGTTCTCCCTTTCAGTGTCAGATCTTGAAGAGGCATCTGGTGAAAGCCCTGATGTGTGCTACATAGATGCTATAATTAACAGTCTAATATCTCCCATCTGTTCATTGCTTTCATGGTCGACCTCCAGTTGCCTCTGTTGTGTCTTAGGTGATAAGGCTTTCTGTATGGCCATGATAAAAATATCATACATCGGACCTTCTGCATAATGACATTACACACATGCTCATTTACGCACACGCAAAAAACACACACATGCACACACACAAGCATATATTTGTTAACATACACAGAAGAAGCCATATTCTTAGGATCTATTCAGAAAAAGCAGTATCCATGTAACATACATATGAAGAACCATATTTTTGCACACTAAAAGACCCCAACCATATTCTTAAGGTCTATACAGATACATTCATATAAAAGACACAGGAGAAACCATATGCTTACATAAACCTTAATCCTAGTGAGTACACAGAGAAAATCATTATCCTAGAATACGCATAAAAAGAGCACCCATATTTTTACTAATCCACTCAGTAGCATTACGCCGGCTGTCTTTACTTTCCCAACACAGAGAAAATCATTATCCTAGAATATGTATAAAATAAACTCATCCCTCAATATACATTGATGAATATATAACATTACTAGATCATATACATACCAAACCTATATTCGTCTAAAGTACACAAAATACACTATATTCATGTTAAAACTGTTGCCACCAAATACTTGCTAATTTCTTTTGGTGTTTTTATCCCCTCACAGGTATGTCCGACTGTGTGGATCCTGGGTCTTGTTTTCTGTAAAGATTTCATCTCTTACCTTGTTCCTGATCTACGTAGCAGTTCCCATTTTTGTGAAAGCCAACCAGTGGATATTGCCCAAAATTGTATTTTTCTAACATAAGTAAGTTCATTTTGCATCATATTTATCATCAGTGATAAATATAACTAGTGTATAGTTAGCGTGCAATGCAAAGAGAGCATCAAAGCAGTCCAAGAGAAATCAGGACACCTTCAGGTGAAGAATGTTCTGAAGGTTACAGTCAAGAAGACTTACTTTATAACACCAGGTCTTATCCCAAAGGTCTCTTTCTTTCGCTGCAGAAGGGCTCACACTCCACAATGCGCAAAATCTGTAACTCTAATGATGATCCCTAAGGATCTCCATGAAAATTGCCCTGATGAACTGAATGATGGGGTCTGTGAAATTAACCCGTGGCTGTCAGAGTGTGAGACAAACGGCTTCATGGCTTGGCTACAGAAATCACCTAAAGAATGCTTTGTGCAGTTTAGTAAAGATTTTTTCTTCCTGTGAGAAAGCTTCTTGTTATGAGGAAAACCGAGTGATAGAGTTTTGTCCTTATTTTATCGCCAGCATCTGTGGCTTAGGAATTGCGAACGCGCTTCATAATGCCTGGTTCGATCCCAGCTGCAGGCCTTGGGCATTGCTTTGGTTTCGGCAGTGGTATCGAGAAGCCGACTGTCCAGAAAGCAATGGCAAACTACTGGCTGTAAATTTGCCTAGAAAAACCACAACAGCCAAAAAAAGGCTGGAGTTGGTTCTGCAACATCCTGTAAAGGATATGCAACTAACTAGGACTTCTTTTATCACGGCTGACCACAGCAATGCATAGGTTACACCAGTGAGAGCCTATGACAACACCCACAAGCTGATAAAAGTGAGCATGCATTTTCTTCTGGTAACAAACTTACTTGAAACAGACCTGTTCACAATCACTCTAAGAAGAAAATTAATGTTGTTGAACTTAAATGTTTGAGAAAAATTCTTAGAAAACCATCATCATCGTCAGGTGCTTTGCCGACTGGCATGGGCAATCATGCCTCTCCACAATCTGCCATCTCCTGCAGCATGTAACAGTTGTGTGCTGACACACCCCCGTGCCAACAAACAAGACTGTCAAGTATCTTCTCTCGTTGTCTTCCTCTATCCCTCCTTCCACAGATCTTTCCAGTGGTCACAACATGTTCCATTTTCCCTCTTCTCACAACATGGCCGAAAAATTACGTCTTTTTCTGATGTCTGTGATAAGTTGTCTTGCCTGGGGTAGGAGCCTGTCCTAAAACTAGGCATGTCCACGTGGTGGCGGATGGTGGGAAGGGCTCTATATAGAAGTTAGCCACGAATGTATTGAATAAGTGGCCTTGGGCCAAAACAAGTGATGGTCATTGAGAGGAGGGGAGTTAGTTGTTGGGACAGCTAACTCTATAAAATACCTCAATACTCCATGACATGGCCATCAGCGAGTACGAGGCACCATACCTCCCCCCCCCCCCCCCCGTCCTGCAGGGCACTCTTTTTTAGACAAAGGCTATTGGAGTCACAATATATACAAACCGGCAAAAGGCAAAGGGAAACCACAACTGTATCATCCCTAGAAAAATCATGCCTCGAAAGAAAACCATAGATTAAGAAGACTAAATAAAAAAAACTGAACAGCAGAACCGCTCTGATGTTCCATGCTGCTCACACTACTTCTTCTTATTCTTCTTTGCATTCACTGGCTGTAAACTCATATGGAAAGTTCTGGTTGTTCGTCCATTTGTGAACTTTAGTCTTCTTCCAAAACCTAAGTGTTGCATGCACATCTGTTTTACAGATGTGACTTACTTGTATGCAGATTGTTGGTTCTTGCCTCTCCGACTTCAAGGGAAGTCCTCAGTTAGCCGACTCTTCTTCTTCACGTTCACCAGCTGTACACTCTAGCGGAAAGTTCTGGTTGTTCATCCACACCTGGACTGCAGTCCTGCTCCAGAACCTGAGTTGCATGTGCATCAGTTTTACAGATCTGATTCACTTGAATGCAGACTGTTGGTTCCTTGCCTCTCAGGCAGATGCACTACAACTTCAAAGGAAGCTACCAATTAGTTGACTCTTACAACATGCTTTTTGGTAGGCAGTGGGTCTATTCTTGTTTTCCCCCACAATGGGACCCCGGATCCCACACGGGGAAGCCGACTCTTAAAACATGCTTGTTGGGGAGGCAGTGGGTCTATTCTTGTTTTCCCCACAAGGAGACCCTGGAACCCACACAGGGCACTCACACTACTGTATAGAAGCTGCAGAACCCCCCCGCTTATGCATGTCAGAAAACAGGTTTCAGGATGTTCCTGCTCATGCATGTCAGAAAACAGGTTTCATGATGTTCCTGCTCATGCATGTCAGAAAACAGGTTTCAGGATGTTCCTGCTCATGCATGTCAGAAAAACAGGTTTCAGGATGTTCCTGCTCATGCATGTCAGAAAACAGGTTTCAGGATGTTCCTGCTCATGCATGTCAGAAAACAGGTTTCAGGATGTTCCTGCTCATGCATGTCAGAAAACAGGTTTCAGGATGTTCCTGCTCATGCATGTCAGAAAACAGGTTTCAGGATGTTCCTGCTCATGCATGTCAGAAAACAGGTTTCAGGATGTTCCTGCTCATGCATGTCAGAAAACAGGTTTCAGGATGTTCCTGCTCATGCATGTCAGAAAACAGGTTTCAGGATGTTAGCACTCACACTACTATATAGAAGCAGCAGAACCCTTCCAACTCATTGATGTTAAAAAAAAAACCCTGTTTTAGGATGTTACATCTTAACTGATTTAACAGTTAAGAACACTAGGCTGTCATGAAATAGACCCATTTTTATATCCCCAGTAAGGTCATGAATTGCATCCCTCACGGGGGGGGCAAAAATAAAATCCTAACCTGCACAGCCTGTGGCGACATCACTAGCGATGGCCCATAAATCTTCAGGTAGCAAGAATTCCCTAAGAATTTGAAACATTCTGATTTTATTTTATCTTTTCTTTTTGTGATAATTTTTGTTTTTGTATTGACAGTTCATTGGCCACCATTTGTAAATTTATCACGTCCCAGTGATTTTGACTTAAACAATACCAGAAATTTTTACCTCCATGTTGAAGAGGGTGTTAATATTGGAGCGTGGTAAGTGACAGATCATGTGGAGTATAGTGTGAGGTATCTTCTTCTTCTTTTTCTTCTTCTTCTTTGCGTTCGTTTTGTGGATGTGTGGGTGTAATGGGTAAACAGTAGGTGTGTGGAGTATAGTGAATAAATAATAGAAGATGTGTGGAGTATAGTGGGTGAACAGTTGATGTGTGAGGGAGTAGTGAGTGAATAATAGATGAATGGAGTAGAATAATTGAACAGTAGGTGATGATTAGTAAGCGTATGGTGGTTGGTAAAAATATAGTGTAGCAGTCAGTAGTAAAATAAAGTGAAGAACTAGTAAAGTATATTGAATGAGGAGTATAGTATAGTGAATGAGTGATAGAATAGTAGATGTAGAGAGCATTGTGAGTCCGCCATACGGGGTATGGTGAGTGGGTAAAAGATGTATAAATTATGGTAACTAATAGATATTTAGAGTGTGGTAAGTAATTGATGTGTGGAATAAGGCATGTGAGTTTTGGACACATGGCAGATATGTCAAGCATGACAAAGAGGTTAAAACTCAGGAAACAATTTGTAATGATGCTGTCAATGCACTTTTCTTTATCTGTGTAAACGGGCACAGTTGAATTGTTCAAAACAACACCACACATAACCAATGGCAGGTTTATGAAGTGGTGGGTAACTAACCCACTTGAATGTTACTGTTTAAAAGTAGTCCCCTGTGTGTGTGTGTGTTCTGGGGCTCTCTTGTTTTTTTTTTAAAGGGGGGGGGGGCGGAATTGGGGATACAGCCATTACCCCTTAACAGGCAAGTTGGAAGGGTGTTTGCATGGCAGAGTGGTCAAGCCATTTGTCTCACGCTCTAAAGGTCATGGGTTCGCTTCATGGATGCATCATTCAGTTCAAATATGCTGTTTTCACAGAGATCATTTGGGATCCTCATTGGAGCTACAGAGTTTGTGCTTTGTCACTATCAGCAAGTGTTTAGCCCATTCTACAGAGATCAAGCCATATCGTACACAGTGCAAACTCAACTAACTCATATAAATTATGTATCAGCCAAATAGTTCTCTGTCAGTGTCTTCATGCAGAACAGACTCCAGAACATGTCTTGCAAGACTTTCCTCTATTGGAGGAGCTGCAGAGCAAATTGTGGCAACTTGCAGTAGACCTGACAACTAAGCTATTGGGAAACCTAAGAGACTTTGAGATGACATCCCAGTTTATGGCACACATGGATTTTTCACATGACTAGAGATGACTGAAAATTAAACCCAGTGCAGTGAAGATGATCATCTTAAAAGAAAAAAAAACATTTTTGTTAAAGCTGACTAATTTAGGTTTTGCTGAAATTGATTGTGTTGGGTTGAAAGATAAACTGGCCTAGCTGTCAACCACACTGCAATATGCCACCTGCTCTTTCTATAGGCGAATGAGGAAGAAGAAGTCAGGGTTCTTTGTTTATAGTAAGGCTTAATGATTGATCATCAGAAAGTGTTATGTGGCACCTGTTTGTCAGTATATAGAAAGCTGTGAACATACATGATTACCAGTGTTACTAGGCATGACATGGATTATTTGGGCTTTGGCTTTGTGCCAGGGCCTAAGTTTTGCATATGCATCTGTTTTACTGGATTATGTGTGTGCAGTTGGTTTTATGCAGATTATTGGTTCCTTGCTGCTGAGGCAGATGCACTCCCGACTTCTAAGGAAGCTCCCAGTTAGTTGACTCTTACGACATGCTTGTTGGGGAGGCAGTGGGTCTGTTCTTGTTTTCCCCGGAACCCACACGAGGGGATGACAGAAACTGCACCATGATACTCGCAGATCATGAAACTTAGATGCATTCACTAAACATTAAGCCACAGAGTATCACTTTTGTTTTCAGGTAGTTTCCTTCTGCTCTTGTTTAAATTTTGTGTTTATGAAAACTATTATGTTGCTGTTATTGTTGAGTAATACCTTATGGCTTCTGTTTACAGGCACATTCTTCCTGCAAACTTACAAACTGAGCAAAGAATCATCACCCCTGATCACTATGAAGATGAACTTAACAGTGGACACAACATTTTCTTATATTTGACATGGCAACAGTGGGACCAGGTATTGTTTGTTTTTGGATGTTTTCTATTGGAGAGCTCTCACTTATATTTCTTTGATATTAGTCAATAATGGGGGCTATAAAACTGGTGACCGCAGGCCTTATCTGGCCCACAGAAGCCGAGTGTGGCTTGCTGATCACTGTCAGCTGTATTGTGTATTAGTGATATTTCAGTGCAGGGACTTGGGCATCTGGCTTGTGGCAATCCGCTGTTTAAATGTTTTGGCCCCAAGAGTTAACTTAGCCGAATAGCTTACCTGGTCTAGCCATTGGTTGTCATAACTCCCCATTCTTCTTGTGCAAAGGGAGATTGTTGTGGTTTACAGCTAGATTGCAATATCTTTACCTTTTGACTAACACATCTGATATCTGCACTTAATAAGTCGCCTTTTACAACATGCTTATTTGATGGTTGAGGGGGGGGGGGGGGGGGGGTGGAGTGGGATTATTATTTGTTCCTCCATATGGACCATGGAACCTAAACAGGGTTTCTCTGTCATCCTGTGTTTCAATGTTGCATACACTGTTATTTGTTGCCCAGCTTTTACTTTTCCATTTACATTGTTCTGTGTCTTTCTCTATTGTCTAGTATTTTCCCCTACATAAGTCTATTGCTCCAACCCATTCTATTGACATTTTTTGTAAGTTCTTCATTTTGTAAACTAAAATGTTTTCTATTCTGTGCTTAGTAATCGTATCATCATTGAAGGAGACCTGAATGTTTTAAAATTGTATTCATTGTCATTTAGTTTCAGTTGTTTCAAATAATCATCATCAAGTGTTTTGTAGACCTGCATGGGCGATCATGCCTCACCACAATCTGTGATCTGCTACTGCATGTATCAGTTTCATGTATTGATACACCTCCGTGCCGTGACTAAAGGCTGTCAAGAATCTTCTCACGCTGTCTTCCTCTGCCTATTTTCCACAGATCTTTCCAGTGGTCACAACTTGTTCCAGTTTTCTTCTTCTCATAACATGACCACAAAATGATGACTGTGTCTTTCTGTTTCTTCTTCTTCTTCTTGTTCACCGGCTGTGAATTCCGGCGGTAAGTCGCGGTTGTTCGTCCAAATGGACTTTTGGCTTTTACCTTGACCTGAGTTTTGCGTGTACATCCGTTTTACTGTCTTATTTGTTTGCAGTTCTCGTTCCCTGCCTCACCGGCAGATGTACTCCGACTTCGAGGGAAGACGTCATGCCTATTTCTAGGTTGACTGTGGCCATTGTTTTGTGTGGGTCGAGATGTTGCCTCATTTGTGTGGTGTCCTCTTTGACCTTTAACAGGTGTGGCCCCCGGAAAATCCTCCTAAGGCAGCCCTAGGTAGAATTGTCAGCCCTCAAGGGAAGGCAGGGGCAGATCATGGGCATTCCCCGCCATCCAAGGAGGCTTCCATAAATGCAGAGCCGACACATGATGCCCTGGTTCTGGGCTCACCCAAGGAATCGTCACGTCCTGCCCATGACTGCTTAACCTCACAACCGTGTATTGAGCTTCCCGTGCTACAAGCCTGCGCTCTACGGAGATCAGCGGGGAGTAGCCCGCAGGTCCAGGACTTTTGTGGCCACACAAATGGGTACATTCTTTTTTCATCATACGTTAGACACCTTTAACGTTGTTTCAACTGTGCCCTTTGCACGACAGAATGGGGAAGCAACATGCGTCAGGCGTGGCTTCGCCTGTTCGGTCCCAACACTCGGGCGAGTGGGACCAGTGGATACGGACATTTGGACTTTTCCTAATCGGTACGAATTATGGTCGTCGGACTTTGAGCTTGCATGTGTGCCGTAGGATTTAACTTTGTCAGACATTATTTCCTAGCCAGCAGATTAAAAGTTGCTGCCGTAGTGTACCTCAGCGCGGTGACGACGACGCTGAGGATTGACAGAGGATGTACGTACGTAGGATCTTGCTGCGATAATTCACCCACAAGAGATGTTACCCGTCTTGGCTGCGGGTAAATCTCTCGGTCAAGGGTTGAGTCTCAGCAGCACAGTTTTCCCTTCGCTCCAAACTTTTAACCGAGAGTTGTCATTTGATGGTACATTTGGCAAGCAATCCTTACTCATGTTCCGAATGAGTTTTGATAGACTTTTCACCCATGCGTTTGGGGGCGGGCTGATGAGAGCCAGAAAGGACACTACACCTCTAGGGGCCGCCAGCTCCGAGATCTCCTGCCAACTCTGTTAATGCTCATTTGAGACATTATCCGTGGCGCACGACGGGGACGTGCAGCAGGAGTCTTGCATGAGGTTCCATAAAACCAGAACAGTGAAGAACTGGCGCCCGAGTGGGGTACGGAATATCTCCTTATACACATCACATCAGACTTAACTTCCCCTCATGCCTGTGACCGAAATCACCGCGCCACTTTCTGTTTCTGATAAGTTGTCTTTGAGCCCTCGTCTCTTTCAAAACACCTGGGTTGCTCCTTCTGGCTGTCCTGTGAATTCTAAATTCTTCTCTAAAACCAAATCTACAAGGCCTCAGAATTTGGATTGGCTTGTTTATTAATTGCCCAGGAAACACAGCCATAAGTTAAAACTGGCTCTATTTAGCATACGATAATTCTTTTCCTAACCTCCAATGACATGGATTTATTGCATAAAATGTTCTTTATTTTGTGAAATGCAGTTTTGCCAACTCTGTTAATGCTCATTTGAGACATTATCCGTGGCGCACGACGGGGACGTGCAGCAGGAGTCTTGCATGAGGTTCCATAAAACCAGAACAGTGAAGAACTGGCGCCCGAGTGGGGTACGGAATATCTCCTTATACACATCACATCAGACTTAACTTCCCCTCATGCCTGTGACCGAAATCACCGCGCCACTTTCTGTTTCTGATAAGTTGTCTTTGAGCCCTCGTCTCTTTCAAAACACCTGGGTTGCTCCTTCTGGCTGTCCTGTGAATTCTAAATTCTTCTCTAAAACCAAATCTACAAGGCCTCAGAATTTGGATTGGCTTGTTTATTAATTGCCCAGGAAACACAGCCATAAGTTAAAACTGGCTCTATTTAGCATACGATAATTCTTTTCCTAACCTCCAATGACATGGATTTATTGCATAAAATGTTCTTTATTTTGTGAAATGCAGTTTTGCCTAGTCCTGTTATTTATCTCTGATACATCTTCCATTGGATGCTATTCATGTGCCTAGGTTACTTAGCTATCTATACTTGTCCTAAAATAACGCCTTTGACTTTTGTTATACATTTAGGCACAGCTCCAGATAGATGAGTGTTATTGAAATTTGTATGTTCTATATTACCCACAGAGGCTCCCATCACAGAGTGCAGTTGTACAGGCTGTTGTCCAAGCTGAATTACCATGTGGTTACCATAGACTATAGAGGTGAGTGAGTGGGTAAAATATTGCAAGCAGGAAGGTAAACATTTGTAATACATGCAGAGTGGAAGGCATATAGAAGGGCTTGAAAACAAAGTTTATTTTAATGGAATGCTGCAGGGACTGCCTTCACCTCCACTCTCAAACTGGTTGTTGTGTCATGTGCCAGGCTTTGCCATTTTGTTATATGTTGTTGGCATTTTTGTGTCTTTTATCTTTCAAGTTTATAGGGTCATGTTGTGCTATAGGGAAAAATGGGAATCAAGCCTATGGTGATGATAAGTGTGACTAGCAACCCCTCTCACATTAACAAGAAAATCTCAATAGGTGCATTAGATTTCAGGACCATTGTTGCTATCAACAGTCTTTGAAATGTTTCTTCTCAAATGCTCCACTTTGAACTTGTCTCTGATCCTTTTCTCTTTCTTCCTTATTCTTTTCCTAATATTTCCCCCTCAGTGCCATGATCCATGGCATCAGTCCCTGCAAATCCGCCTAAATAACAGCATCATTCATGTCCCATGCCTCAATTCCTATGAGAGACTGACCTCAGCGTCTTCTGATTGCAATATATCGATCGGCACCTTTCAGTGTGCTAAGGTTTCATAGCACCCCAGATATGGGGCTTTGATAAGAGTCCCATATTGTTTTTTCATCACTACTTTCTCATGCTGGGGATGGGTAAGTTGTGCACTTGCTGTTGTCCTATAATGGAGCCTCAGTAGAGTTCTCTGTCAGGATACTGCCTTCAGGAGTGAATGATTATTAGCTTCAATTCATGTCTGTTTATACAAAAAATTTAAAGGATCTTTTTTTTCTATAGGTAGTCTGGGTATATGATGCTATTATTATCTTTAATAAACCTGCTGGCACTCTGATATTGTTGCCAATATCTTTACTTCTCACCACAATTCCTTGTACCTATTTTAAACTGGGTCGACTTGGGAACCAGAATCAATTTTTGTTTAAATCCCCTACCTAAGTGGGGATTTTAACCTAATAATCATGGAACAAAAAGCAAGCATGGCAACCACTCGGCTATTGTGGATTCACCTGACTACTACTTCTTCTCCTCTAGTCCTGTTCTGCCAAGTTTTGAAGAGAGTGGTATTTATGGCCTCGGCTATTCCGTCTATCCATTGCTTGCATGATCTACCCCAAGAGCTGCTTCCATTATGTCTGAGGAACAATGCATTATCTGGTGGTAGTCTTGATGCATGTCCAAACTATTTTATCTGTTGTCCTTTCTTGTAATTTAGTACTGATTCGGTCCAACCTCTTTCCTGATATCATAATTTATGAGAGAATTCCTAGGTCCAACTCGGATCCACCAAAGTCATCCAGACAGAATAAAACATTGCTAAAGCAAAGATCATGCATTCACTTGACTCAAAAAATCCACACACACACACACACACACACGTCCACACAGTTTGACAAACTGAAAAACTGCTGACTCAAAACCCATGCACTCCCACCAACAGTGGTCTGCCTAATGTGGGTCTCACATTCCCCACACAACACAGGGAGTTTGCAGTCATCAGGAAATATCAAGCAGTCTCTGTTTCACCAGCTGCAAGTGGCTTAAATCTTTACTTTCCAACTTGCCAACCAAAGGTCAGTCAAAGGACTGGCTTCATTAATTCTTTAAACTCCACATTGATTTTGCATACAATAATTATCAAAACTGTTCATTTAATAATGTCATTAGGAAAACTGTTTAATTTTTAAAAAAAAAAACTGTTTAAAATTTTCATAGGAAAACTATTAAATTCAATATTTCTTAACCCTTTCGCTGCTACGCCCTCCGCCAGCCAACTTAACCATTGTGCTAAGCCAGGCGAGAGCTAATCTTTCCTCCTGTGCTGAATACCGTTTTTCCCTTCAAAAGCTGGCGGCGTGGGGTAAAAATTGTACACCAAAAATAAAAACTCTGAAGTCGTGTGGTTGAACTTTGCGCTGACAAGTCAGACGCGCTATTTCTACGCCATGAAAACTCATTAACAAAAAGAAAACACTACAAACTTACAAAGCAAACACAAAATACTTTAGTAAGCAAATACATGGTTTTTATTATTAATAATAATATCTTTTTGTGTGAAATATTTCAGAACAAGGTGCGACACACAATGCCAAATCACAGTCTTTGCACATGTATCTGGTTTCCCATCGTTTTTTGCTTTTTGCGCATACCACACACTTTCTTGTTGGGAATTTTGTGTGTGATGTTAGACTCTATTGATGAAGGGAAATGTCTTTGTACTAAACGAAGTGGTAGATCTTCACTTTTTTTTGGTCCTCTTACACTTCTCTTTTCCTTGGAATATTTCTATAGAATTTCTCTTACTAACATTAAAAACATTATTTAAAAAAAAAAACGGCATGTAGGGGTTGAACTCTGGACCTTTCGAATGTGAGGCAAACGTGATACCAACTACACTAGAAATTCACATGGAAACATGAACTAAAAATAGGACTAGTATTGTACACTTTGACAGACAAACACATTTATGTAGACAAACACATTTATGCCAGTTCTATAGTTAATATTAATCATCATGTCAGTACGTGACCAAATCTTCATTTTGATTATTGGGGATCCATTTCAAATCCAGTCGATGTAGATAGCTGGGTTATATGGTCAGTCTTGCTCACGACCAGAAGTACACGTGTACGCCGGCGAAGATAACCTAGCTCATATAACTCACGTTTTAAAGTGATCCTTACTATTACTCATTGAAAGAAACTCCATTAATTCGTCATTAACTTTAATCAACCAATTTTCTTGTTATTTTGTATTTTTTTTTATCAGACTATCGCAAAACCACTGACCATGCTTCTATGGTAACAAAGCAACAGGATAGTGTGAAATACATCTAAATACGGCTAAACACACGTGATAAGGGTTTTAATTGTATGTAAATGGGTCAGTTTGATCAGATTTAGGTAATGTATATTCCCCTTTCACCCCCAAGAATAACTCTTCTTAGCAATCTGTAAGAAAAGTCGAGGACGAGATATCTCGTCCTTAGCACTGAGGGCCCAGAAAATGGAAGACGAGTTAACTCGTTCTAAGCAGTCTACCGGGTAGACGAGGTATCTCATCCATAGCAGCGAAAGGGTTAAGGAAAAACTGTTAAATTTATAATATATATAGGAAAACAGAAAAATTCCAAATGTCATTATGGAAACTGTTAAAGTCATAATGTCAGTAGGAAGTCTGTTAAGTTCATAATGTTGTCAGGAACTTTTGGCTGAAACCAAATGTCACTAGGACAGCGCTTTACTTTATGATGTCATTAGAAATGTCATCTTTATAATGTCATCATGCATGGTGTGACACTGTGAGCTGCGTTTGTTTTTCGTTGGCACAGGAGCGGAGCAACTGTGGGGTGACCCGTTTGCTATGAAGCTAAAACTAGAATTACCAGATTACCAGAATGTCATTAGAAAAACTGTTCAGTTTCTAATATCTTTTTGCTTTATATCTCATGATTGTACAGGGTATGGAGATTCTAGTGGGTATCCGACCGAAGATGGTGTGGTTGCTGATGCATACTTCGCTTATAAATGGCTGAAGGAGAAGGCTGGAGAGTCTAAAATCTTTATCTGGGGACACTCCCTAGGCACTGGGTATGTATGTTGTTGTTTTTCTCATGTATTGAATCTACATCAAAGTTCACCTAGATTCAAATGGTTAGCTGGAAATGTCTTGGGATGCGAAGATGGCCAGTTTGATGTTGACCACATATAATCCATCCATTGGCCCTCTTCCTTCTTGGAAATTTCTGGTTTTTCTTTCACTTCAGTCTTTGGCCTGATCCAGATATTGAATTTTGCGTGCACATCCATTTTACAGATATAGCTTAATTGTATGCAGACTGCTTTTTCCTCACCTCTCAGGCAGATGTGCTCCGACCTTGGAGGAAATATTTGCATAATTACAACCTGCTTGTAAGTTAGGCATTTGGTTTATTCAGTTTCCCCAAAATGGGACCCTGCAACCCACACATGGATATTTATGCTTAGACCTTGACTGAGCGTAAATGGCTACTATAGAAACATCTTGGGAAGTAAAGGCAGCTGCCAGCTAGTCTATAAAGCAAATAAAATTGTAGCTTCAAATGCCTGACATTTTTACTGGTGGGAAAGGGAATCATTGACTTTTATTTATTCTTTTTTTATTAGGCATTCTGCCTAACTAAACTCAGCTTCTGTTTGTTTTAAATACAATTTTGCTGGTAGTTGAGCAAATTAAGTGGTGAATTAATGCAAGTCAGTAATTCATCATCAAGTGCCTTGCCGGCTGGCTTAGAGGTTCACGCATCTCCGCAGATCTCAGTCTTTGGTGTTCTGGATCACTTCCATTGTTGATATTTCTCCATGCTACTGTCTTAAGCCATCCATCATCATTTCTCTCGGTCTGCCTCTTCTGCCAGTGATCTTTCCCATCGTCATAATATTCTCCAGTGCTCCTCTTCTCATCACATGACCAAAGAACTGTGTTTATCTCCTTCTCATTGTTGTAAATAATGTTCTACTTTCACTAGCCATTTCCAGGCAGTCATTGTTGGTTATTCTGGCAGTCCAAGGTATTTGCAAAATTATTTTCAAGAACCATATCACATTAGTCCCCAAACCCCTTCTGAATTTATTTTCTCAAATTCCAGGATTCACTGCCATACAATAAAAATGGGCTTGATATAACATTTCAGTACTTGTTTTCTGGTGTTTAATGAGAGTGATTTATTACATAAGATACTTTTCATCTTCTGATACGTCCAGTTCTGCTCTTAATTTCTGTCACAGATAGTCCATCTGAAGTTATGAATGTCCCCAAATACTCAAATTTATTGAATTTGTTAAGGACTTTCCCTTCTATTGTTGTGTCACATTTTGGAGTTATCTTTTTTTTTTTTTTGCCTTCTACACCAGAGAAATTATATTCTTGTAATGGTTGTTTAATTTTCATTATACTGGTAGTTTAAGCAAATTAATTGGTGAAAAACTACAGCAAAGAAATGATCAAATTATGATTGTATTGGTAGTTGAATATTTATTATACTGGTATTTTAATATTAATTATATTCTTTAAGTAAATGAATTGGTTATCAAATTCTTGTTCAATTTCAGTGTTACTACCAAGTTGGCCAAAAGACTTTGTGATGAAGGTAAGATGACATGTTTATTATATTTTTCAAATACCATTCAACATTTCAAAGTAAACATTTTTTGTTGTAGCATTTTGTCAGAGATTAGTTTGTAACTGAACTTGAAACTCAATCCTTTTTAATCTAAAATATCCAATGTGTTGTAAATCCTTGCAGTCATTATCTTGAATTGCAGTGTTTGTTAACTGTGACTTTGTAGTCTTTAATTTAATTATTAAAGTATAGTGTCTTTATGCTTCCTTTTTACTTTATGTATATTTAGTAAATTAGTTAGTTTATTATCATTTCTATAAAGTAGAAAGCTACTGATTCTATAGTTTAATTAAGCCTTTGATGCACATGGAATTCTTTAACTGACACTTGTCAAACAAATCTACTGCATGTGTATATTTATATTTTTATTCTTCTTTATAAGTCTATAATTTGTGGCTATGTATGTTTCTGTGTTTAGTATCATCCCAGCCCATATATTAACGTGTTTTATGTCTTTTTCTGCTGTATTCCTTATAATTTTTTTGTGAATTCTCCCTTTGTCTCGCCCCTAATGACTGCTGGGTATTTATCTTCTTTGCACTTGTAATTAAACCATAATGAAAGAAAAATGTCACCCAAGTCCATAACAGTCACCTTTAAAAAATCGGATTCTATTTTATTAAGAGACTATCTTTGTCTTGCTCCTTAGAAGTGCTTAGTATTTACCATCATTTCATTTGTAATTATAACCATGGGCAGAAGAGAAACTACTTTCTAAAACAAAGATAAATTATACAGATATTTTGTATCTTACAGGCGACCACCCAGCAGGCATTATTCTGGAATCTCCATTCAACAATATCCACGAGGCAGCCCAAAATCATCCTTTAGGTTTGGTAAGTGAAACTCTAGAGAGTGGTTTCTCAAGTTTATTATGGTCTTGTTGTTTTTTGTGTGTGTGCGGTAAAATTGGGAATCCTAACCCAGAAAACAAAAGCCCAAAGAAGTTGGTTATATTGGCAGAGAGGCGCAAATATCGCAGCTATGTTGTGAACAAGCATAACACAACTATATCACTGGAACAAACAGTGAAGAAGGAATCAGGAAGCTTTTCTTGTTCTTCATCTTCACATTCACCATCTGTAAACACCAGCAGAAAGTTCTGGTTGTTTGTCCACCCCTGGACTTTAGTCTTGTTCCAGAAACTGAGTGTTGTATGCACATCCATTTTACATATCTAAAATTTTTGTTTGTATGCAGATTGTTGGTTCCTTGCTTCTGAGGCAGATGCACTCTGACTTTGAAGGAAGCCCCCGGTTAGTTGACTGTTAGGGAGGCAGTGGGTCTATTCTTGTTTTCCGCGAAATCCTTTTTAATGTCTCTATTTTGTTGAGTTAGAAGGGCTTGCATTTTCTAATGGTTCCAAGGGATTTGCCAACAGAAGCATAGCTACCGGCAAAGCCACCCAACTCAGCCATGTCAGAGGTTATACATCAGACATGAAGAAGCAGTGATTTGCAGATATTCTACCCTGTGTGGTTTTTGGGGCCCTCCCCTAGAGAAAAAAAACAGAACCCACTGCCCCTCCTAACAAGCATCTCGTTGACTGACTAGGGGTGTTTCCTTCAAAGTCGGAGTGCATCTACCTGAGTGGCAAGAAACCTGCAGTCTGATAGAAATCAGTCTGATCTGTAAAACAGATGTGCATGCAAAACTTTAGTTCTGGATCAAGGCCAAAATCCAGCATAGGACAAACAGCCAGAACTTTCTGCCAGTGTTTACATCCAGTGAACGTTAAAAAGAAGAAGAAAGCCGTTTTAGTACCTGCGAGACAGCTGGTTCAGTAAACTGTACATAGTTTCAGACCAGTGTTTTACTTATCTTTGCTTGTTCAACTTGGCAGTCATCATTTGCGTATTTTATTCATTCATAAAACATTGATAAGTTGAGTTGAGTTGAGTTTAGTTGATGGATTAACACCAAGGCACACAGATGTAAACCCATAAGTGCTCCGTTCTACTTCTAACTGAGGCTTGAGTCTGAAGAATCTCAGCGCAGTGCAGAAACTCTGTTGCACTGGCGAGGATCCTGAAATACTTTTGGGTTGATTTTTAACTCAAAATTTTGCCTGGGCAGCGCCCGTTGGGCTACTCTTTTTAGATTTTCGACTGCCAGAGTATTTTTACCTACGCAACAATACACACCGATGTCTGGTCTTACTACCCAGAGACCAGGAGAAATTACTAAAGTCCATGTGAAAGATTCCAGCCTTCCCTGTGGTTTGAACCCAGGACATGCAGCACTTGAGTGAGATGTCATACCTCGATACCATGAAACATTTATAATTAACGCTGTATGCACATGAATTCTGCACGTGAATTAAATGTTGAAAAAAAAAAAATAAAGGTACAAGACCCAGATATTTTGACAAGGTTTTGTGGGCAAGTGGTGCTAGCCTCATACTAACTGCCAGGTGAGGGATGATGTGACAAATATAATTCCAGCTGCCTTTACTTTTCAGAACATTTCCTTATAACCATTGGTACCAATTCGCAGCATTTTTTTTTTTTTTTTTTTTTGTGACTTAATTTTACTAGTGAAGGAGTTGGTAATTTTATTAAAATGAATGATCTGTCATGTTTTTCTTCCTTCCCCTATCTAGCCTTATCGCATGCTGCCATGGTTTGAGTGGGTCTTTCTAGATGGAATCAAGGAGCATGGGATTTACTTCAGAAGTGATGAAAAGTATGATTTTATAGAATTTATATATATATATATATATCTATCTAAAATAAAAATAGCTGTGTTTATAAATGATTATGATTCTCCATCCCGTATGGTCACTGGCCTCAATAATCAGGTCAGTGCTCTTGTCCTGCCTCATTCATGAGGCCAAGCCATGAAGATATTCATCTGTTTGCTTTCTGTTTACAATGTCTCCATCAGTCTTTACAGTTGTCATCAAGTCTATTCCTATTCATAATGTGTCTAAGTGATGTTACTGTCTATGTCTGATTGTCAGCCCTAATAAAAACACTTTCTTCTTTGTGTATCTTCAGATGTTAACATGATTATGTTTAACCTTTTGCATGTGTTTAACATTTTGCATATGTTTAACCTTTTGAATATATTTAAACTTTTGAATATGTTTAACTTTTTGAATATGTTTAACCTTTTAAATATTTGCCATGAAACCTGTAAAACTATTTCCTGAGTAAAACTGCATATGAATTATCAGCGGAAGAATGTTCAGCCTCACTGAAAGGCAGAACAGGATTAGAGGAGGAGGAGAAGAAGACACTAAAAAAAGACTCATGATCTTTTTCTTGTTCTTCTGCTTCTTGCATTCTTATGTCCAAGGTATATTTATTGTCCCATGACCACATTTTTCTGGGCCAACCCTTCCCTCTTCTTCCAGTAATCATGCCTTCCATGACCATGTATATTTTTTCTAAACTACTCTGATTGATCATTCAATCAATTTGCCCTTTTCTGGGCTGCTACCTAAAAGTTAACCCTACCATCTGAAACTTAAACATCTCAGTCTGGACTGCAGACCAGGTACAGTCAAAACTCCACATATCTTTTCTCAGCATATGAAGTATGCATTTTCTTCTTCAAGACCATGTGTCTTTGGAAGAAAGGCTATCCTATATGCAGCTAGCAGTCTTCAAGTTCTGGTTCCTCGTCCACTATTGAACTGCAGTCCTGCTCCAGAACCTGAGTGTTGCGTGTGCATCAGTTTTACAGATCTCATTTCCCCTGAATACAGACTGTTAATTCCTTGCCTCTCAGGCAAATGCACTCCGACTTCAAAGGAAGCTCCCCAATTAGTCGACTCCTACGACATGATTTGGGGAGGCAGTGGGTCTATTCTTGTTTTCCCCACAATGGGCCCCGGAACCCACACGGGGGTTCATTTTATTTTCTCCGGACCCTGTTCTGTCAATCAGCATCCGGTTTTCAAGAAACGTCTGGTGTGAGCCTTGGTGTATGCTATGCAGATGCTGGTGTTCACGATCTTGGATATTCTGTGCATCATTGATTTGCATGGGTGACCTTTAGCTCTACTTCTGTTGATGTGTGATATCTTATGGTAGGTAGTCTTGACACATGTCCGAACCATTGTATCTGTTGTTTCTTGTAGTTTCAGCTCTTGTTCTGTCTCAGTTGTTCCCTGATATTGTCATTTCTGGCCAGTAGTAATATATTTAAATTTCGAGATTTTTCTGTGCCTGCATTCTTCAGATTGGTCTCTAGAATTTTCTGTAAAGGAAATAATTTTAATCCATACAAGCACTCATATGTCAAAACTGGTTAAGTTTTTTTTTTTTTAGTATATTTGTTATAAGGTCATTTCAACATTCAGGAGGTGGCATACATGTTCAAGTGGTGGTAATATTTAAAAAAATTCACTTTTCTCTAACATTTGCTACATTAATTAAATGTAAATTGTTAAAAGTCTGTTATTGCTCTAAATAAAATTGATGTAATTTCATTATGTTTTTTTCCTCTTCAAATTTCAGTATTTTGTCTGTGACACCCAACATCCTGATTCTCCATGCAAAGGATGATTTTATAGTTCCTTTTGATCTAGGCAAAAAGGTATGTTTCTTTAGTAGTTAGTTTTTCTTGAACCAGAATATTAGCAGATGTTCTGAGAGAGATCTGATCGCTATGAAACATTGGGAGTGAATATTTCAACTTCCTTTACTTTATCTTTTACCACTGATGGTTTTAAGGGAGATACAGGGTTCTGGTCAATGTATGGCCGCCTTGACCAAATACGCTTGATAATCTTGCTCTCCGATTGGGTTCCAGGGCCCCATTGGTGGGTGGGGGATGCAGGCGGGAGAATAGACACTGTGCTAATTATGGTTATTTCTTTCAAAGTCGGAGTGCATCTGCTTGAGAGGCAAGAAACCAACAGTCTGCATACAGATAGGTTGGATCTGTAAAATGGATATGCACACAAAACTCAAGTTCTGGATCAAGACCAGAATTCAGAAATGGACAAGTGACCAGAACTTTTCTTCAGAGTACAGCTAGTGAATGTTAAGAAGAAGAATAATATACTGTTGTTGTGTTTCCTTTATGTTCTTCCCATGTTTTGTGTGTGATTATCTTGTATGATATGGCATCACAAGGCATTCCATTTGATTTCCTTTCTTTGTATGTAAATATCTGGTTCAGTATTGGTCATTTGCTATATGTTTCTCTCATTGGCTTTGTTCCTGATATTTTCTAGTCAATCGCAGCCTTCTTCATAATTTCCATTTCCATATAGTTAGTATTTTTTATTTCTGAATGTTGTGAGAGACCTTATCTGGCACGAGTAGTGTAGGGTTGGGATGAATATCTCAACTATAAATCACAAACCCTTTCTGCATATTGTATGTTCATTTTAATTCAGCTGTTGAACTGAACTGAATTTCTACCCCACCAGGACATCACACAAGCGATAAACACCCGATGACACAAAGTGCCACCATGTGGATGAGGATCGCCGTGGAGAGGTCCCAGAAACCGCGTTCAGACATTTGGCCATATATATGGCCTGCCTATATTGCGGCCCCTGGCAAAAGCCAGAGTAGGGCTTCAAATGACAAAAAATTTCGTCCTAAAAAGGACGAAATTGGATATATTCAGCTGTTAACTCCTCCCAAACTTTTTACCATTACACAGGTTATATTTTTAATTGCCATTAAAGCTATAATACTTAATTTAACAGTCACACTGGCAGCCAGGTTTAAATGCATTTCCTTTATTTATTGCAACAATCTGTAAAAGTAAACTTTTGCCGGAGTATTATCCCTGTAATTAAGAAATTTTTTTTTGTGTGTGTGGCTATTACATAGTAACATAATTTTTTTTTTTTTACATTTATATTTTTGCTGTTATCTCCCTTGAAACTAAGACCGTAAGACAGGGGTTTTAGGGGAGGTCGTTGCTTTATCAGTCAGATTTGGGAAACTGCCAACATGCCGAATTGTAACCTGGAGTCACTGCTCGAGTGAGTGCGCTAAGTTGGCAGTAGCCCTAACTATGGGAAGACCTGATCTAGAAGCTCCTGTCATTCCATGCCGAGGCCAGCTCCCTAAACCCTGTTTTAAAAAAATAAAATTATTTGCTACAGAAAATTCTGAGAAGAGATGAACTGAGAAAACACCAGACATGCACTGAAATGGTACATTGACATGTTGAAGAAACAAGGGCATCCTGTAGAAAATTAAAGACAAAACGGCTCACGTTGTGCTGGCTCCTCATTGGAGTTTCTAAGACATATACGGCAGTAGTGGAGACCAAGGTGAGGTAGAGGAGGGGTGAAGAAAACTTTCTTTTATTATCCCAGGTAAAGTCAGGCAGTTAAATCTAATACTTTTTACATTTCTGTCTGCTGGCCATGGCTGTCATTTATTTAATTTAGTGAAAAAAAATGTTCTAGTGACTGAAGACAAAGATGAGCAACTGCCAGATTTCTTTAATGTGCTCTGACCAAATGTAAAATGCAATAGAGCTCCCTTTTTTTTTTCAGTCATCTGCTGTAAATTATGATGTAAAGTCGTGGTTGCTCACCCTTTTCTGTCTTGTTCTGGTAGTTGAGTGTTGCTGCACATCTGTTTTACAGATATGGTTTCTTTATATGCAGACTGTTGGTTACTTGCCTCTCAGGCAGATGCATTCTAACTTTGAAGGTAACGCACATCCTGTCAGGTTTGGCCATGCTTGTGGTTGTTCCTAGAATGACCAAGGAGTGCATCACCACCATGCTTGCATTCCCAAGGGAACATTCTTCTGTGATAGTTGGAGCTTTTAAAAAAAAACACTTGAGTTGATTCAATAACTGACATCACAGTACTCGTGGCATTCCCATAAGCGCTCCGCCCGCATCTTCAGCAGCCAATGCAGAATTCCAATACCATTGGTGCCTGTAGCGGTCTGATTACAAACAAGACAGATGTGCATACAAAACTCAAGTTCTGTAACAAGACCAAAGTGCAGATGTGGACAAACAACCATAACTTTCTGTTTGAGGTTACAGCTGATGATCACTAACAATAATAATAAAATAATGTGCTAAAATTAGGAAAATTGTGTTTACTTTGTTCTTGATAAAATATTTTGAGAGAAATAAAATTGATTTTTTATGTTTTTATATTCATCAGCTATATCACAAAGCAAGAGAGACAAGGAATCACAAGACAGGACAAGTAGAGTTTATACCATTTGAAGCCAGTCATGGGTATGGGCACAAATTGATCTATAAGGCACCAGAGCTTCCCAGTCTTATCAGGTACAGAATCTAGCACAAGATAGAGAGCACACCTCTTAAGATGAACTTGGATGTAGCAAATTTCTGTTGTAAAGAACACTGTTTAGCCCTGGGAGTTTTTCTTGCTTGAATTCTTATCTGGCTAAGTGGAATTTCTGATAAGAAGAACCATTACTTGTTTCCCTCTGAGTTCTCCTTATCAGGTCTGCACTGTATGTGAAAACAGTTAATGATACACTTGATGATAATTAAAATACTCATTATATAAACTTGCTAATTAATTTGATAATTCGGCTCAAATAGTATCCTTCTTGAAAGTTGATGTATTTTTACCATGATAAATACTATTATGGCCTGGAGAGAGCGGTTTCTCTGCGAGGCAGGGCTCAGCAAACACGGATACAAGACATTGAAGATGCATTGGTTATGGAAGCACACAGGGCTAGACATTTGGCTTAAGAAAGCCAGACTTTCAGGCCTGCCATGTCGAGAATGTGTCCTGTAAGGGACTTGATGATTGGTGAATGAGTTGATATCCATCATTATCAAGTGCCTTGCCAGCCTATGTAGATGATCATGCATCTCTCTATCTTGAAGCCAGCAGCATGAAGAAACTATATAAATTAATGTGCATTTACCTTACATGGTGAGTCGCTGTGATCTAGCGGCTTGATGCTAACTTGCGGATCTGTGAGTTGTTGGTTTAAAAATGAACGGAGCTGGACTTTTTTTTTTTTTAAAATGACTTTGGCTGCCAGGTTGAGCCAGCTTTAAATGGGTACCAGGCAGTGTCCTGAGAAGTAAAGGCAGCCAATTTGACCTCACCAAGTGCCAGTTTGTCTATCAAATATATGTACGCATATACAGGCCGCAGTATTTTAATCGAAAATTGTTGACGAAAAAAGTTTTTTTTTGGTAGGTGACAGGAAGTCATTTTTTGCTGTAAAGTACTTAGCCCAGCAATAAAAATAAGAAAAATGACATTACTGCCTGTAATTACTACTGCTCACAGATACTACAGCTTTAGTATTGGCCTTTCAACAAATATATATATGTCAATACGGTAGGGTTAGCACTGCTGGCCTAAAGGTGTGGAAAGGGTCCTTTACTTATAGAGCAGGCTGTTATGGAATAAACATGGCCTAATTACCCTGAAGACTATGATAACACACATGAAAGTGAGACTACTTGTCTTATTATTCGTCCAGCTAGTCTAGTGGCTTTCAACCTTCCTAATGCCGCGACCCTTTAGTACAGTTGCCTCATGATATGGCGACCCCCAGACAATTATTTTCCTTCATAACTTCAATGAATATGTGTTTTCTGATGGTCTTAGGTGATCCCTATGAAAGGGGTGTTTGAACCACACACAACAAAAGTTGCGACCTGCGGGTTGAGAACTGCTGAGCTAGTTCTTTCTTATATGTATTGAGCTAGTCCTTTCTTGTTTGTATGTTAGTTAGTTATGGATCCTTTACAGTGTTTAATGAGCAACTACGGCATTTTTTTCCACTGTCTTTTTTTTTTTAAATTTACATTTACAGTAGTTTGCCATTGCTCCCTGAAAGACCGGCTCTCAGTGTCATTGTAAAGCTGTCTGCTACCATATTGCCTGCAGCTGGAATCAAACTATAAAAGCTCATAATTACGTAGCATGTTCACAACACCTAAGTCACAGGTGCTAATCGTATTTTGTTTACATATTATAATCCAACCAACCAGATGTGCTGTATCATGAATCATTTTAGTAACATTCTTGCATCTATCTCCTGACAGAAAATTTGTTGGCAGCACTGGTGAAAAAATGTGATGAAAGACCTGAGAGAGCAAGCAAGCAGCAGCTGTAATTCATTTCCCATGGCTTTGTATTGGTATCACAAGAGACATCTGATTGTGTAGAAACAGGCTAAACTACATCTTCATCCATCCACCATCATCTCAGACAACTAATATACTACCATATTTGTTGGTGCATAAGATGCTCCCTTGTATAAGACGCACCCCAAAAATGGAAAGTATGTTCCAGAAAAATTTGTGAAGTCTGTCACTCTTGTCCAAGGAGGTTAAAACATTTGATTCGCTACCCAACAATTGAGGAAATATACCATAATTTTCTTATTACTACTTTAAAATCCAATCAACACTGAGCTTTATCAGGTGCACTTGACCCAGAAATGGATGCTATAACCTATAACCTTTCTCACAATCATCATGTAGCAGGTCCTTTGCAGAACATCGCTCTCATCACAGTCTGCCTGAAAGAGCTCGGTCTCTCGCCAGTTCTCCCGCCTCATGTACTTTCATACTCAAGGAGTCACTTATATCCTGTGCCCATCTTCGTGTCGGTCGGCCCCTGCCCCTCCTTTCTGGTACCTTCCTTACTATGCTGTTAAAATATTTCATTTACAATCCATGTTGAATACATAACTTCTCACACTGCATGAAATATGTATATACAGTAAAAAAATTTTTGTATGTAAAATGCTATATTTTTAATGAATACATGTTAACACTGTTAATGTCTGGTTAGTTGGTTCAAACAATTTGACTATATTGGCCGCTGTGTGTATATCATTTTGCTACAAGTGTTTGGAGTTTCAATGTTTTTTTTTGGTTTTTTTTTTTGGTTAAGATCAAGTGAACTAGATTGTGCCTCCATAATGAAAGTAAGTGTTATGAAATATGTGGATGTTTATTAACACTTTAAAAAGTGTAAAATACACTAATACAACATTTGTCATTTAGCGTGGAGATGTAAAAATAGACAAAGGCAGAGAAGAATTAGAATTTTAAAAGAAGCAGCCACGCATTTTTTACCATGAGGATATCAACGCTTTTAGAAACAAGCCGTCATTACCTAAAACTCTTTCTGACCAAAGGTGTTGAGCTTAACCCTTCACCCCAAGAAGCCACAGACCCAGCAGTTTGGTAGGCTCCCCATAATTGCAGCTTTTCTGTCTTGTTTACAGTGGCGTGGTTACAAGTGGTCTTGTTGGTCCCTTTGGTGTTTTTGCACCTGCTTATTATTTATCAGGTCAGGATATGACTATATTTATAAATAGTAGCATTTAGGGGTTTTCCAAATCAACCACATGGCTTTTTTTTTCTTTGTTCACCAGCAGAAAGTTCTGGTTGTTCGCCCATTTTGGCTTTGTGCCAGGGCCTGAGTTTTGCGGTTTACATCCATTTTACTGGCTTGTTTGCTAGTTGTTCCTTGCCGCTCAGGCAGATGGAAGTCCCCCATTGGTCGATTCCTATGATATGCTTGTTGGAGAGGTAGTGGGTATGTTCTGCAGTAAAAAAAAAAAAAAAACATATATTTCTGGAATGATCAAGAAAGATATGGTAAACTGTTTGGTACTGAAAGACTCAATTCTGACGAGCTAAAATGTAATGACAATGTGTATATTCAACCCTAGCATGTAGCACCAAGACCTAAACAGGACCAAAAAAAAAAATAGAAATTCAGATTCAGACCACAGACACATAAGAATAGATTGGAACACACACCCCAAAAAAAAAAAAAAAAAAAAAAAAAAACAAAAAAACATGCAGAGGCTGTAGACAGACTGAAAAGAAAGTTGAAAGATTCTTTTTTAAAATTAAATTTCAAGCCACATTAACAAACAACACTTTTATTAAAATCAATCCTGTTTGGTAAATTTGAGGTAGGCGGAGATACAAATGGGAGAGTAACATTTCGAGATGGATCAACGGCAGCCCCGCCTATGTATACGCTAGAGATCCACTGCAACTAATATTGTTGAGATGGCATTCGATTGACTAATCATAGACATTATATTCATTTTATTTGTCGTGCTGCTTTTTCTGTATATGCAATTCTTGACTAAATACAATATATACATTTTGTTTTACCCAAAGTAACATGCATCATGTTTCTTTCTGGGCTCGAAATATCTTTCTGCAGTTAAGTCATTGTTAATGTTAAATCTGCAGCCTTGTTTCTATGAGTACAGTGAAATCTTTGCCAAGCCAGAACTGGGGTTTTCATTATTTGTTCATCAGCTCTGAATCACAGATGCAGTGATTGAATTGTATTGTAACTGTAAATGTATGCATTGTGCACAATTAAATTCAGAAGCCCGTTTTCTTTAAAAATGTTCTATCACTCACATTCAAATGTTGCCAGAACATTTGTTCTCCTTTCCTGTTTGACTTTTAAGGCTCAGAAAATTTTGAGATGCCCAGCGCAGTTTTACAGGTTTGAAAAATACCACAAAAATATTGCTTGTACACAACGTTCTTCGCTGTATATCAAAACAACCAGATTTGTTTAGTACTGACCACATTCAAATTGCTTAACAATGCACTGAACATTTTTTATATGTCTGCAAGGGATAATTAATCACACCCTGCACACTGTGTAGGACACAGCAAATGTAATGCTGTTTGACGTCTGCATTGATATATACAGTCTCCTGACTTTTTTTTAACAGTCCCAATTTTATTAGTTACTGAGCAGAAAGTTGTCCAGTATTGCGGCATTTTCAAGAGAAACTTGTCCTCTAATAATCTGTAAGTTGCATTCCAGTTTCCTATCAGAAGTGAAGGGTCACCCCACAATTTCCCCATTTCTGTGCCAACGAAAACCACACAGAAAAATGCCCACTGCTGTACCTTGTGAGAAATTGAAACAAAACTTAGTCTTGGCAAAGTTACTAACATACACAAGCACCAAATGCTTATGGCATCCGACAGAAGTCTTAAAATAAAGTTCACCATTACAACTGAAGTTTGTCATCACTGGAAGCAGCACTTACAATAAATCAACAGTTGCGTTTGCAACGCTGCATAAGGCACCACCAGTTCTGTCCATCTGCAATTCAGCAATTTTACTTCTTCTTCTTCTTCTGCGTTCGATATCAGTCATGCTAAACATTTAGTCCCGTCTGGGTCACAAATAGGATTGTGCGTTTAAGGTCGCCACCGGTCCCCCATAGCTTCTCTTGCAATGTGGCTCCTTTGGGCCAGATCCACAGTCTTTGCTGGGAGAGGTAAGGGCAGTACTGCAGTACGTGTTCAGGGGTTTGTCTTTCTGCTCCACAATCACAGGCAGCAGATTCTTTTATGCCTATCCTGACATGTGTGCTCTAAGACCGCAGTGTCCAGTCCGAAGTCTAAGAATTGATGTTTGTTCTTTCCTGTTGAGTTTGTTTATGCTGTCACTCTCTGGTCTGTAATCTCCATTCTGCCTTCTCCACTCCCGCTTGAAAGACTGCTTTAGCGCTGTTTTGGTTTCCTTGTAGCTGTGTGGTGGATGAGGTTGTGGAAGATTACTCCCAGCTTTTGCCAACTCATCTGCTCTCTCATTTCCCTGAATACCACAGTGGGCTGGTATCCACTGCAAGACCAGTTCTGCTTCCTTGGAGAGTAAGCCAATGTTGGCCCTTAGATAAGCAATTATTTTGTCTTGTTTTTTTGCTGGATAGTGCTTGGAGAACAGACAATGAGTCGCTAAGTATAACAATTTGGTGCCCTCTGTGTTCTTGAGTGATGAGATGTTGGACTGGCAGAGAGGAGAGCAGTTGCCTCAGCTCTGAAGTTAGTGCAGATGTCACCTGCTGGTAGAGAGAGAGTTTCTGCTCTACTGCTAGGGGGTTTAATGTAAATTCCACAACCCCCCTTTCTGACTGCATCTGTAGCAGAGCCGTCGGTGAAAACCTGAGTCCAAGTGGTGTTTGGATACTTCTCATCAAGCATAGCAAGAGCCAGGGTTCTCTGTTGTGTCTCCGTCTGGGCATCTTTTGAAGTGATTCCTGGTACCTTTAGGACTACATTTGCTTTCTCTGGCTTGCTTGTCCATGGTTCTGGCCTAAGTTTTTCGCACAGTGCAACATCTCTTTCAAGCAGATCTTGGTGCTGTCTGTACAGTTCTCTAGCAAGGTGGTTGGGGCTCTGACGCTTCAGTCTGTTTTTCGTTCTCTCTTGAAATTTAAAGCAATTTTACAAATCAGCAGTTCATAATACAGACGTTAGGCAGTTGAAAAGCATTCCAAATAAAATCCACAGCTCTGTCGCACCACGTGCTCAACCCAATAACTTTCAATCTGTACAGTAGACAATGCAAGCAGTGCATGGCCAGAAGCAAATAACTTGCTAATGACTAAAACGGTTGGCTTGTCCACATATATTGAACATGAATCTGTTACTGTATTAAGGTTGAGAACAGGTTGTCGCATGTATATATTGCCTCTGATCTTATCCTTGTAAATATCTCATTCATTTTTTTCATCCATGTTTGTTATAACACGTTTTCTATCAAAGCACCAAATCAATGCAATTTCTCTATAACTCTCTGACAAGTGTAAATAATCACTAACATAAGTTTCTGTGCCAATAATGATTTTGATTGATTCCCAGGTCGACTTAGTCTGAAATGTGCACCAGGTAAAATATCTTGGGGGGGGGGGGGGGGGGGGTGCTGATCGGTTTATAAAAATGAGTCTAATCTCAAATGTGCCACTGGCTGACTTGGCTTATACTTTACACTGTAACATATTTCTTGTCTCTTATACACTAAATAGAACAGCCCAGAATAACCATTACAAAAAAAAAAAATGACATTTCCCTGTTTAAGGATAATGGCTTTCCCATAGCAAATTTATTCCCAAATGGAGCAGAGGCCGTTAACCAACTCACGTCAAATCTTCCTATCCCTTGCTGTCACATGAATTTCCTTCCCATCTTTATAAAACCCTACTCTCTGACTCTTGTTTTGCCTACTTTTACCTCTATGTCCCTGTGGGACAGAAAGAGACTTAACGGCCTCTGTCGTATATTTATGATTATGCTGCCTTTCCTTTTAGCATTAAATGTTTGCCTGGTCCTCTGGTGACTTTCCAATAGGAGTTGATCACAGACACAACTGATCTTGCCGAAGTAATATAGATAAATATATCAGTATTAAGGCCGACATTCCCAAATAATGTGCATGTTTTTATTTTTACTATGTTAAAAATGCATTTTATTAACTTGTTTATATATATGAGACATTTTATCACAGGTTTATTAAAAATTTTCAGAAGTTAACTGCCTGTATTTCAGATTGTTTGACAATAACATGAGCCAATGTGTAAAATATCTACAGTAATGTTTCTAAACTTAACATAACCCTTGACCCGCCAGGGTCGTGGAGGTGTATCAATGGAAGCACTAGCCCAGAAAACCTGCCATCTTTCTTTGTCAACCGTTGGGCTCTTGTGCCGATTATCCATCAGAGGGCAAACTGTTTGCTTTGTCATGCCCATCTACTCTTTAAGTATCGGAGTCTGTTTTTACTTGTTTAAACCAGTCGACTTGTTTGCTTATATTGTATGTCTTGGTATATAGCTTCAACAACATACACACTATATATGAATTAAATAATTGGTGCCTATTACGTCATCAGTCTGTACAATAATACTGATTTGATTTTGACTTTCATTACTTTCTCTAAAGGGAGTCGCTGTGGCGTTGGGGGGTTAGACGCCCGCCTGCGAATCGGAAGATTGTAGGTTCACATCCTGACAGAGCCAGACCTTTTTTTTTAAACGACCCCGACTCCCAGGTCGATCCAGCCTTTAGTGAGTACCAGATACAGTCCTGGGAAGTAAAGGCCGCTAGCGTGGTGCTGACCACATCACCCACCAGTGCCTGTTGGCCTATAAAAATATATGTCTAGCCATATATTCCCAATACACACAAAGGCGTGGAAAAGGGGACCTTTACTTGGCTAATTTTTTCTAAACGTGATTATATTGTCTACACTATATGAGGGAGAAATAAAAATAGTCAAAACATTCTCAGTGGTATTAATGTTATTGTTGTGGCTTTTCTAAATTACACCTAGCTCGTGCTGATAAATTGTGGGGGGGGAGGGGGGTGGTGGTTGTTCCTCCTTAGTTCCACACAACTGAGTATTGTGCCAACCTTTGTAAGAATTAAAAAAAAAACTAAAAAAAATGACAAAAAATTACATCCTTATAAGACTTTTTGGCAGTTTTTTTTTTTTTTTTTTTGAAAAAAATAAATCTATGTGGTTGAATTCCTAAACCACCCCCGATCAGACCTAGGGTGGAGACAGTGACCAGGACTAGAGCATCATGTGTTGGCTCTGAATTTATGGAAGCTTTTTTGGATGACAGGGAATGCTCATGGTCTGCCCCTGCCTTTTCCAACCAGTCTACACACGGTTGTGCCTTTAATGCATTTTCCAGTGGCAACACCTGAAGATAAAGGGACAGAGACAACACCACACAAATAAGGCTATGTCATGTCCCACAGAAACCAAACGGGAAGGCTAACCCAGTGAACAAATGCTTGATGAAGTTAAATGTGTCGGCTGAAAAGCATAAATATCCTAGCTGTGATGTAAACAGGCACAAATGTAAGTCATTTGGATGAATAATGAAGACACGTGGAGCAACGCAACGTCATAAGGTCATAACATTGTTTAAGAGCACCATGTGCACAACTGCGTCAATCTTGCTAGCCACACTCACCATCCCACTGGTAAATTCTGTTTCCAACTACACAGCAGAGATCGTAGCACTAGAGAAGGCTGCTAAAATGTTACACACCAGTTCTGACTGCCACCACGTGGTCATCTTCACAGATGTGCTATCAGCGCTCTAAGCCATCAAGAGTGGTAAACTCCCTCACCCGTGATCTGAACTTGGCAAGGTGGCCGCCCAAAAGTTTACTGTATTGCTAAGAAAGGGGCAAAATGTGGACAGGTAAAAAATGCAATAACATACTATGAGAAGAAAAGGGCGGTCCAGTCTATCAGAAGTGAACAGAGCCTGGCCAGAGATGACTACCACTTACTTGACCTACATGGGCAGGTCATTATTCTATGCCTCAAAACAGGAACAAGCATATGCACAGGCTTCGTTTAAGTAGTTCACCATTGTGTCCTGTGTGTGCAGACTACAGAACATGTCCTGCAAGACTGTCCCCTGTACAGCCCATTAAGAAGAGAATACTGTATGGAGCTACTAAACAGCTAAGTTTATCACAAGAACTTGTCTGTCGGTGTCAATCAGAAAGCAAACATAGGAATTTGTCTTGCTGCTTCTCAGACCCAGTGTTGTGGTTTTAGGAATTTGTCCTTCTTAGGCCTGGTGTGGTTTTAGGAATTCGTCTTGCGCTTCTCAGGTGTGGATTTGTTTCTTTTTACACCATTTGTCCCTCTCTTTCTTGGTCTTCCTCCTAGATGTTCTGCTGTCGCAGGCACATCTCAAAAGGTTAGCCACAAGAGCAAGAGGCAGCCCAAAAAATGATGGATTCAAAACTTTATGCGTTCAGAGCATGTAAACAACCAGTGTGCACTGGACCACAAATTCTACCCATGGCATAAAATGACAGAAGTGGTTTTTTTAAAAAAAAATTTTTTTTTTTTTTAAAAAGTATCCAGAAGCCATGAGTTGTTAACCCTTAGGCTCGGTATTATGGATATCGCGACCCTTCGGCCTGGATTCCATGATAAAAAGCCCATCTGTGCTGATGGTATATCTTTAGTTTGAATGGTGTATACAAGTCAACATCACAGCAAAGGGGTAGTAACCCATAAGTGCTCCGTTCTACTTCTAACTCAAGCTTAATATTCTCAGCGCAGTGCATGAACTCCATAGCACCGGCAAAGATGTAAAATACTTTAGATTTTGAATGGCAGTGTCATTATGGCTTGCCTTTCCGATTTCCAGCGGCCAAGGGATTTTTTTTACATGCGCAACAATCCGCACTGGCGCCCGATCTTACTACCCAGAGACCAGAGTAAATTACACGAAGTCAATGTAAAAAAATTTTTTATCCTTTACCGGAGCCTGAACTCAGGACCTCTAGCACCCGAGGCGGTTGCCATGCCTCAAGACCACTCAGCCCATGATGCCCCAATGAGGAATCAACTTATGGCCCCCAGTTAACAAGCTTTAGTCATCCGGGGAATTGTAGCGCAAAAACATCAGTCAGAACAGTAGTTTTCAACTTTAAGAAAGATCCCCACCCACCACACTGATTTTAGAACAGAAGGTAGCCTATAATGTGTGCAGGGAGATTTTTTCTAGGAAATAAAGGCAGCTGGAAATACTGACATCACCCATCAATGACTTTTTTCTAGCAAATAGCTATAAACCACATAGAAAACAATAGATATACACAAATCAACAAATTGTATATTACATGAACATATTTATTTTTTCAAATGTGATATTCATTTTATGAGCGGGCATTGGGTCCCTTCTTGCGTCCAAACCCAGCAACAACATTCACAAAGCGTCTGTTGTACTGCATGCGGCGCTTGGCACGGCCAGTTCTCCTCTTCTTCTTCTCTTGCTTTTCAACTTTTGGTGTCTGTCCACGGACTTTGCCGGCACGGGCCAAACTACCGTGGACTTTGCCTTGAAGCAAAAGAAAGAAAAAAAAAACATTTGTTCATCATAATCAAATCACACCACAGAAATTTCAATTACTATTTTATATATTTATGTGGGTTCCAGGTCTTCCCATAGGGTTGGGGGAGGGGAGAAAAGATAGAATTACATGATGTTTGAAGGTTTCCTTCAGCCACAGTGCATTTGCCTAAAAAGGCACAGAACCAAAAATACAGATAAGTCACTTCTGTAAAACAAATCTGCATACAAAAATGAAGTTATAAAACATGACCAGAACTTTCCATCTGAGTTTGCAGTCGCTTGACACTAAGAAGAAAAAAGGATTTTACTATAAAAAATTGTGTCATAAGATGGGCATGTTTTGAAACAACAAATTAACATGGACATATTTACTGAGTACAGTAAAGAGTTAGGGCCCCATCTCATTTCACTGGTACACTGGACATATTGTGCCGGGCCCAATGTTTAAGAATAAAAGACGCTCTGCACTTTAGGCCAAGAGGCGTCGCAGCCTAAAATTGTTACCAGGATGGCCGTCCTGGGGAAGTAAAGATGGCCGGCGTAATGCTGACCACATTACCCATTCAGTGCCAAATGGCCTGTAAAAATATGGGACGCTCTGCCGCCCATTTACCCAATGCGCCTTGGGCGTAATAAGGGATCTTGACTTTTACTTTAGGCCAACTTTACTTCCAAAACATTTTTATGGCCACTATTAATATCTGCCCTGGTGGAAATTCAAACCTAAGATTTTCAACCGGCAGGCTAACATAAAACCTGCTTTACGGCCGCTTTGGGTGGTTTATTATTTAACAATGACACAAAACATGCAGTGCAGTTTATATATATATATATATATAAAATAAATTTTTTTTAAACGCCCTAGAATCAGGGAAACTGTAAAATGGTATTTTCTGAACGACTTGACAAGTTAGTATGTTACTCATGCCTATAAGGGAGTAAATATGAACCACGATTTTCCCTGTGGAATTTAGGGCCCCATTAGGGGAAAAACAAGAATAAACCCACTGCCCCCCCAACATGCACATGTCGGAGGAGTCGACTGAGGGCTTTTTTTTTAAGTCTGCCTAAGGGGTAAGGGACCAACAATCTGCATACATATCAGTTAAGATGTGTAAAACAAGAGTCACAAAACGATGAACAGCCAGAGCTTTTCGCTGTAGTTACAAGTGGTGAATGCGAAGAAGATAAATCAGGTTTTTGTAAACAAATTCAGTGTTTTAATGTTACCTCAGGGGATTTGAGGCTGGAGTTCATAGCACAGGATAAGTGAAACCAGTCACAACTACAAATGGTGGTCTACGAGTTAGTTTAGGGACTATGTTCCAGGGGGGGGGGGGGGAGACAAAAAAATAATGGGCACTGACTACAGCAACATCTTAAACATAAACACACAAATTTAAATATTATTACACAGATTTACACAAAAAATTAGTCAGCTTACATGAAATGAATAAGATTTTCACGATGAGGGGGTGGGGGGGGGGGGTTCCCTCAACAGCACCTTCAAAAGAGTAATCCTTTTCTTGCTAGCGTTAACCAGCTGTTGGTTCCTAGCTTCTCAGGCAGATTTGCTGTGACTTCAGAGAAATAAAACCTCTAAATTAGCTATTGTTTACAACATCCAAGGATCCCCAGAACCCAATTGGGGAAAATCCCAAGTTAACTTAAAAGGGTTAGAAGAAACTCCGGCTTTCCTGTCAACTACGGCCGGTAGACAACAGTAGACGGCCGGTTAGTCGGGAGTTCTGCCCCCTGGCTGCAGTGCTATTACGGACTGGACAGGAGGAATCGAAACAAATGACAATTACTGTGTGTTGGCGATAGACAGCGTGCACTGCCCTGCTATAATCATTAGGTTGTGGGTTAGGGTTACTGGTAGTGTCGCCGCATGTCGCACAAACTTAAAGTAGCAACCCAAACCCTAAACCTACCCCACACCGTATGATGACAGTAGGGCACTGCACGCTGTCTATCGCCAACACACAGTAATTCTGCCACATGTATCGTTCCCTCTAATCCACTCTGTAATGCGAGTCGCAGCGCGGGGACTGATAGGCATGTCGACCTCACTTTGTGGTCTTATTCGTGCCTTCTCCAGTCCGCAATTGCACTGCAGCCAGGGGACAGAACTCCGACTAACCGGCCATAGTTGACAGGAGAGCCGAAACACTGCATGTCTACGTTTTACTAGGGAAGGGGGGGGGGGTGTATTTTGAAGATGAATAAGAGAAAAAACTTGGGTGTATTTTGACAATGAATATGAGAAATCAATTTCTCCGAACACGGGACCTACCTCCAAGCAATCTCAGTTCAACACTCAAAGTTGACTCGTCTCTGAAAGCAGCCAGCTGGCATTCATCTTCCAGGGGCTGGCCTTCAAAGAACACGGCCATCTGCTCCATAGGCAGAAACTCATTATCTGACACCAGAGACTGTTAAACACAAATAAAACAAGGCATTTAATGGGAGGTTTAACACATAATTATTATTTACAAGGGGTCTAAAAAATTACAAGCTGTGGTCATGAAATCAGCTGTCAAAATATATCATGGTGAATATGAAAAATCCATCCACTAACTGGACTTTTCTGGCTAGCCATGGGTTGTTTTTTTTTTGTGCCACTCTATAGTCTAACGTAACATTAGCATCTGGAAGAAGTGAAAGCATGGAGAAGACACATGATTGACTGATATTCTCTCTTATAAACGTGTATTTAAGTCTTTAGAGTTAAAACAGTTTTTTTCTTGGGACTCATGGGCTGTCAATTCCAGCAGAAATTTCTGCTTGTTCGTCTCCATTTCAGTCGTTCCAGAATTTGAATTTTGCATGTACATCCAATTGACTGATCTGGCTGTTAGTTCTTTGTCGCCCAGGCAGATGTGCTGACTTCTGAGAAAGAAAGCGATAATTGGTCATCCCTTACAAACCAGACAGTGGGTCTAATCCACACAGAAATGGTTGTTCAAGTCCAGAAAGTGATTTTCCAGTTGAGCACTAATAAGTCAAATGTAATTCTCCCACAGGTCTCAGGAATTATTTTACTGTATTATGTTTTGTGCTTACCTTAACATCTCCAACAGTCTTCTGCTGGTTCAAATCTACGGTGTAGGTCTGAAGTGATCTCACAAAGAGGGGCATCTTGAATTTGTCACTGAAAATTAAAGAAAACATTGATATTTCAAGAGCTAAAAAGAAATATGAATATTCACACAGAAAAGTGATAAAGAAAAAAAATTATGTATTTCAAAAGAATTTAACCCCCGTGTGGGTTCCGGGGCCCCATTGTAGGGGAAAACAAGAATAGACCCACTGCCTACCCAAAAGCATGTCGTAAGAGTCGACTAATTGGGGAGCTTCCTTTGAAGTCGGAGTGCATCTGCCGGAGAGGCAAGGAACCAACAGTCTGTATTCAAGAGAATGAGATCTGTAAAACTGATGCACACGCAACACTCAGGTTCTGGAGCAGGACTGCAGTTCAGTAGTGGACGAACAACCAGAACTTTCCGCCAGAGTGTACAGCTGGTGAACGTGAAGAAGAAGAAGAAGAAGAAAAGAATTTAAGTATAATAGTAATGTTTTATTAGACTTAAAATTTAAGGACAGACAAAAACTATCTTATTTGATGACTTTGTTAATATGTGTAGTCATTTGAAATTGGTATTGAAAAATTGGGCTCTCTTTTAATACCGGACGGGGGCTGGACGGCTTAGTTCAGTTTAGTGGGAGTTCTCTCCCTTGGCCGCACTGGAAACTGTGAGCGGAAAAGTCACGAAACAAATGACATACTTACCTATCATCGTACGCTTGCGTCGTCATTATACGGTTGCGTAGTTATCATACTCTTGCGTGTAGGGTTGCCTATTATCATACGGTTGCGTAGGGTTTGGGTTAGCAGTAGGGTTGGGGTTAGTTAGATGTGAAAATTTTGATGTAGGAGTTCCAAATACTGGGCGACAATCTGATGCTTGTGGGAGTGGCGCCAATGAAATTCTGCCAAATATGGCGGCAATAGTGCGCAGCTGGTGCCTAATCGGTGGCGAATTGTCCGTAGCACCCACAGTCCGTCGACTGTTTGGGTGTGTATGTGACTGCGCGATTATAGGGAGCTCATGCGTCACAATTGTCAAATCTAATGCTAAACCTAACCCTACCCCTAACCACGCAAATTTATCGGTCATTAAAGCATACACATCGACAAAAACCAAAAAAACACAAAACCCAGATTTCCCCGCAGTGTAAAAAAAAAAAAAAAAAACCAGGTCTGGGGACACAACCAAGCATTGGCAGCCCTGATGTCGACCTCACTGTCTTCTTTGATTCGTCACTTTTCCTCTCACTGTTTCCAGTGCGGCCAAGGGAGAGAACTCCCACTAAACTGAACTAAGCCGTCCAGCCCTCGTCCGGTATTGAAAGGAGACCCAAAAATTGGCTATCCTCCTAATAACGGTCCCAAATTATCAAGGCTACGACAATACTTCAACAATCGTATGTAAATTGCGGCCCCAAATCATTAAGGGTGTCAACAGCTGCCACACTGGGTCTTAGCTTCTCTTCTGGGTTCTAGGTTTGACTTCTCTCATGGGTCCTAGAATGAACTGAAATAATGACTACATCATATAGTAAACCCACAATGCAAAAGAAGCAATAAAACAGGGAGAATTAGAAAGCTGTTTCGAAATACAGAATAACGGGAAGCAGGTGCTGATGGGTCTGTTTGATACTCATTTTTTTCATGTTCACCAGCTGCAAACTCCAACTGCATGTTCTCGTTTGATTTGGTTCAAAAACTATTTGCATTCACATCCATTTTGCAGATCTGGCTTATTTGTATACTGTACAGGTTTTCAGGCTGTTGCACTTCAATGGAAACCCCTAAATCTATATATCTAAAACTCGTTACAGGCTATTATTTCTAGAGGCAGTAGGTCCATCCCACCCCTTTCCCCCAAATGAGCCAGGGCATCAGAACCCATACGGGGCAGATTAATACGAAATACAGATCCGTGCTCAGTTGAGAATATCTAAAATGGAATTACCGATTCTCCAAGAAAAGACGGTATAGTTTAATTGTTCTCATTAGGATTTTACTTAGAGAAACCTCGATGTCTCCTAGTAGGTGGACATAGTGTTAAACTGATTCAAGTGCGTCCGATTTACTTTACTGACCACGATAATCATACTGTCTGCTGCGCTTGTTTATAGGTATAAAGGTGTAAATTTTTGTTTCAAAGTACCAATGATAACTGGTTGTCTTGTTTTATCTCTTTTGCAGCCAAAAATTGCATTTTATTTTGCACAATTGACAGCAGGGCAGGAAGAGTGAGTTTTCAAGAAATGTTTGACTACAGCCATTTAATTTAATTATAATCAAATATCTAAAAATCACACGATTAGAAAGACCATCGATAACTGGTGGTGTACCTCCATGACGTGACAAGTCAAACTCAAAACCACTTTTTATAAGTTTTTAACAAATTACCTACATATTTTTATCTCAGAATCAGAAAGAAAAAGCTTCTCCATATAATATAAGCAACTGTTTGTAGTTTGTAAGCCAGTATTGGTAATTTATTTGTATTTTAGACAGACTCACCTCAGGCACGATGTTACAATCAGTGGTGCAAGGCTGGAAAAGGATCTAAAAATAGCACACCACACTAAACGTGGTTTTCTGGTCTCACCGGAAACGGAACATTCGTACTGTTTTATAATTATCCGTTTCTGATTTTAGTAATTTGTTATATTAACATTTTTCTTTCCCGCATGCATGAATTAAAAACTAAAATCACAGCACGTGCTGTGTCTCCTTTCAAATCACCATATGGATTGCGTCAGTTGTAGTATTAAATAACTACATATAAAGGTGTTGTGTTATTTGTCCATCACAAGTAATGAAGACCACTTTTCATCCAAAGTAGTAGTGATCAATGATTATGAGTACACCACTTAGTTGTGAATTGATGTATGACAAGCTAGACATTGTGAGGGCCCTCTGGGAGAGAGTGAACAGTGCGGAAGCGCAAATAAATCCTTACGGTCTAAGAATAATGGCAATGCGAGGAGTTGCCAGGGGATCTGGCTGACGCTCAACACTCAAGGGAAGGTCGAGACGGATTACTGATTACTGATTACATCAGACAGTTACTGGTGCCATCGGAATTGGAACTCTTCGTTTGCTGCTGAAAATTGGGAAGGAGCGCTTATGGGGGTGTACCGAGTGCTATGATGTCGATTCTCAATTCAAAATTCAACATCAATGATTATGAGTACGAAGGTAGCTGATTAGTCCAATATAAGCCCGGAAAATTCTTGAGCAGTGCGGGACCAGGGTGATATATGGATGATAATTGGATGAAGGTGACTTGCCCAAGGACTTGGATTCAAGTGAGGAAAAGTTGACCTGTGTCCATCTTGATCCAATAGCAGGACAGTGTCAAGACGACTGGGAATGAACCTAGGTGCACTGACTGGATGACCAAGACGTCCTAAGTGTCCTGCCTTGCTCGAACCTCTCCACCGAGCCTTTTTGTCCGTTGGACCATAAGAGCTTTTATCCGCAGAATCTGCCTAGGCCAATGAAAGAAGTACACCTCTAAGCGTAATCCATGTATTTTGTGAATGTCAGAGGTTAAGAAGTGGAAACAGTGTATATAACATACAGCAGAGGCAATCAGAATGTTTGCCACAGTATGAGAAGAAGACAAAAACATAACTACTGGTGTGTTGAGTATATGGGTAGGACTAGACAAAAACACTGGTGATCGCGTGACATAGCAAAACATGACAGCCTCTGCTTATTGACATGGCACATGAGGGTGAGGGTGAAAGAACTGAAACGATTTATGGAATGAGATATAAAGGGAGGCAGCCAGGATATTGCCAAAGACAACAGGGGTATCTTTTGTCATGGTACGAAATGAGCAGACCATCTTCCGACACGACAGGTTAGATCGTCCAAAAGGAGGAGTCTTGACTGCTGTCAAGAACACGATCACAGCTTGGGAAACCCAGAGATCTCAGTGTGGGGATACAGAGTTTATCACAGTCACTATCAAGGGTGCAATGGGAGACGTGACAGTATGCAACATCTACTCACCACCAAACAGAGATATTTATCTGGGACCCATCCAACTAAACACATAAAACTGGATTGTTGTCAGAAATCTAAATAGCCACTCACCTAGCTGGGGCTACACAGACCTCAATGCGAAAGGAGAAGAGGTAGAAAACTAGATAATCAACAACACTCTAGTTCTGATAAATCATCGTGACGACCCAGACACATTCTAATCTCGAGCCTGGAGGAAAACGAGCGCCCCAGACTTGGCTATAGCAACTGAAGATGTGGAGAAAGTTCCCAGCCGCATTACAAACGAATTTCTCTCACATCTTGGACCTGCTGCCAAGAAGTTTCTTCTCTGCATTTACAACCAGAGCTGGCAAAAAGGGGTGGTACCGTCAGCCTGGAAGGAAGCTCTCATCCAGCCTTTCCTTAAAAAGGGTGGAGACAGAAGAGGCCCAAAAAGCTACAGACCCATTAGCCTTCTTAGTTGTGTAGGAAAATTGATGGAGAGATTAGTAAATAAAAGACTAATATGGTTCTTGGAGACAAACTCTGTAATCACCACCACACAGACAAGATACAGACAACACAGAAACACAGAGGACCAGTTGACATATCTGGCACAGGAAATACAGAATGCCTTCCAGGAAAAAAATAAAGTTCTTGCTGTCTTCTTTGACCTCTCTCGTGCTTTCGATACAGTTTGGAAAGAAGGCCTACAACTAAAACTGCTACAGGCAGAAGTTGTGCACAACATGTACAAGTGAATCAAAGACTTTCTTTTCCAACGCAGAGCCAGATTCAGAATTAATGGACACATCGGCAAACTGGCAAAACTAAGAGAAGGAGTTCCCCAGGGTAGTGCGATAGCACCAACTCTGTTCCTGATTTACATAAATGATATCACAGCAGCCTGCCACCAGCACGTTTATAATACCCTACATGCTGATGACTATGCAGTTTGGACAGCCTCCGAATACACTACCACAGCCTCATATCTGTTACAGAAAACTGTGGAAAATGTAGCCTGGACCGAAAAGTGGGGTCTAAAGTTAAATAATTCAAAAAGCACAGCATCACTTTTCTCTGTCTCCCCCACACACACACAAAAAGAAAAATTTGGATAAAAAACCAGCTCATTCCACAGACTGACACTCCTACCTTTCTTGGCGTTACACTTGATTCGCGACTAACTTGGAAGTTACATGTAGAAGCAGTACAGGGGAAAGCATTCAAGAAGCTTGCAGTGATGAAAAAATTAGAGGGTACCACATGAGGCGCCAACTCCAGAATCCTAAAACAAGTAAATACTGGAGCAGTCAGGCCAGTCATGGAATATACCTCCACTGCATGGGCTGCAGCAGCCAAGACAACAATGGGAAAACTGGACAAGGTTCAGAATATGGGATTAAGGATTGTTCTCGGAGCCATGAAAACCACCCCCCATCAGAGAGATAGAGAGGATAGCAGATACTGAACCACTCGAACTCAGAAGACAACACAAAACGCTTTTACAGTATGAGAAATTAAAAAGACTTGAAAGTCATCCACTGCATTTTAAATTTCAAGAGAGAACAAAAAACAGACCGAAGCGTCAGAGCCACAACCACCTTGCTAAAGAACTGTACAGACAGCACCGAGATCTGCTTGAAAGACATGTAGCACTGTGCGAAAAACTTAGGCCAGAACCATGGACAAGCAAGCCAGAGAAGGCAAATGTAGTCCTAAAGGTACCAGGGATCACTTCAAAACATGCCCAGACGGAGACACAACAGAAAACCCTGGCTCTTGCTATGCTTGATGAGAAGTATCCAAACACCACTTGGACTCTACAGAAGCAGTCAGAAAGGGGAGTTGTGGAATAAACATTAAACCCCCTAGCAGTAGAGCAGAAACTCTCTCTCAACCAGCAGGCTACATCTGCACTAACTTCAGAGCTGAGGCAACTGCCCTCCTTTCTGCAGTCCAACATCTCATCAATCAAGAACACAGAGGGCACAAAATTGTTATACTTAGTGACTCATTGTCTGTTCTCGAAGCACTATCAAGCAAAAAACAAGACAAACTAATTGCAGATCTAATGACCAACATTGGCTTACTCTCCAAGGAAGCAGAACTGGTCTTGCAATGGATACCAGCCCACTGTGGTATTCAAGGAAATGAGAGAGCAGATGAGTTGGCAAAAGCTGGGAGTAATCTTCCACAACCTCATCCACCACACAGCTACAAGGAAACCAAAACAGCGCTAAAGCAGTCTTTCAAGCGGGAGTGGAGAAGGCAGAGTGGAGATTACAGACCAGAGAGTGACAGCATAAACATACTCAACAGGAAAGAACAAACAACAATTTTTAGACTTCGGACTGGACACTGTGGTCTTCGAGCACACCTGTACAGTATAGGCATACTTGAATCTGCTGCCTGTGATTGTGGAGCAGAAAGACAGACCCCTGGGCACATACTACAATACTGCCCTTACCTCTCCCAGCAAAGACTGTGGATCTGGTCCAAGGGAGCCACACTGAAAGATAAGCTATGGGGGAACCGGTGGCGACCTTAAACGCACAATCCTATTTGTGACCCTGACGGGACTCAATGTTTAGCATGACTGATGTCGAACGCAGAAGAAGAAGAAAAAACCATTAGAGATCGCAAGGTGTGGAAGAAGCCTGATAGACTACGTCGTTCGTCAAAGCACTTGAGTTTCAAAAACCGACCTCACAGCACTCAGAACATCCCCGTAAGTGCTCCGTCAACGTCTGTAACAGACAGCGAATAGATCCAGCTCCGACAGCTTCAGTAGCAGTCTGTTCAAAGCCCTTGATGATATAAGTTGTGACTTTGTGTTCCTCATCTGTGAAGTCGAGTGCTTCGTGACGTATACACAATATGCGCATATGGTAGCTACGCATATTGTACATGACGTGTCGCTGAAGTGAGAACCGCTGAGAACATGCTGTAAAAATCCATCATTTTGGCAGCGGCTTTTAGCAACAGTATCTTCAGCATGACTGAAGACGCTCCGATCCTCTGTAGAGTTGGGGATGAAAACAGCTACAAGATTTTGAAGCTTGATAAAAATGAGGTAAAACGGTATCCGATGAATATTATACAGGTTACACAAGCGAAAGTCATTAAACGTCGACTATGTTTAGAGCCGAAGATATTGTTTTGAAGTTAGGGGTGTTAGTATACAGGGTTTCAAAGAAATATTTAAAAGACGAATTTTACGAACTAGCTATTTAAAAAAAAAACCCCATAAAACTAACAAATATGTTTTTTAAAAAAATGATTAGGTCATCATGGGCCTCTTTTGGTAATGGTGAAACGTCTACGGATGATGTGCCCGGTATTATATGATTTGGATTCCTAAATCAGAACTAAGATCTTTGTCTTCTGTTCTCTATTCCCAAGCAACTCCCGACAAGTCCTCCTCTTTCTCATCGATTACAGGTATCCTCCCCAGCTTTTTAACTTCCCATCTCAAATTCCCTTCTCCATGTGAATGTGTGTGTGTCTGTGCGTGTGTGTTGTGTACGTGCGTGCGTTTTGTCTGCCATTATTTATTTGATTCTATGGGTTTCAATATAAGAACATCCCCATGTGGGTTGCTGGGCTCTATTATAGAGAAAGCACGAATAGACCCACTGCCTATACTCAAAAGCATGTTGTAAGAATTGACTAATTAGGAGCTTCCTTCGAAGTCGGAGTGCATCTGCCTGAGAGGCAAGGAACCAACAGTCTGCACACAAATGTGTCAGATCTGTCAAATGGATGCACACACAACACTCAGATTCTGGAACAGGACTGGGGTCCAGAAGTGGACGAACAACCAGAACTTTTCACCAGAGTTTACAGCTGGTGAATGCAAAGAAGAATATAAGAACAACCTAGTTATGCTGTAAATCCGGTTTTCTCTGAGCCTCTCTTCAAACGCTAGGATCTTTTAATTTTAATAGTCATTCGTGTTCAAAATATTACTCACAGGTGAGCATTGGCAGTCCAGAAGACGCCACATATACCATATCATCACAAGAGCTGTCCCAGTGCCTCATTGTAATCCGTCGCCATGGTGACACCTGGACAGTCACTGACATTGTGGTACGTGTATTTTAAAATTATAAATTAAAAAAAATTTTTAAACAAAACAAATAGTAATTATTTTTTGTTTATGTATCTTACTTATTATATATATTTTTAAGAAATGCTTATCTGCATACATGACTTTTCTATATTCTTCTTCTTTGCGTTACCGACTGTAAACTCTGGTGGAAAATTCTGATTGTTCGTCCACTTTTAGACTTTATTCTTGTCCCAGACCTTCGTGCTGCGTGTACATTCGTTTTGCAGATCTGGATTATTTGTTTGCAAATTGTTGGGTTTTGTTTTGCCTCACAGGCAGATGTACTCCGATTTCGAACCCTTTACCTTTACTTTTAATTGAGTTAACAACAGAAGAAGTGAATGATCAAATCAATCAATCAGAATGCCACCGAAACTGGCACAAGACGATTACCATATTATGGACAGACCAGAGCAAGTCATTATCCTTCGCCTTAGAACAGGGCACAATCGACTTCGCTGCCACATGTACAACAAATTTAAGATTGGCCAATCAGCCATGTGTACCTTTGGAATGGCACCTGAGACAACAGATCACATCCTCCAATACTGTCCCAGATTCAATGCTTCCAGGCAAAACTTCTGGCCAAAAGAGACACTTGTGGAAGTCAAACTTTATGGGCCGCTTAGTGAATTACAAAAGACAGTCAAATTCATACTAAAGACAGCATTGCAGATATAGATAATTTATTTCATGCGAACGAAAGAAGAAAAAGAGTTAAGGGAAACATTTCAAAACATCAAATTGCAGGTGTATCATACTCATTTCACTCTCAGGTTAGTCTCCCCTGAGTTCAGAATTTCTCTTTGAATGGAGAATAGGCTATCAAAATAATCACAACCCATCGCTGCACATGTGAACTGATTACCAAACTATCTCCACATGTGTGTGTCATTTACTGTATACTCTATTCTTCAGGACACATAATTTATTAGTCAAAGACCAAAGAAATTCGCCGCTTAAGAAAACAGCAGCATCTGAGCAATTGTAAGAGATGGATAATCTATGGCCACATGCAAAAATGCATGTTGATCCGTACAGGAGTTTCCGAGAGATCTGTCAAAGTGTGACGGCATGAGTGTTGAAACGCACTATAGCTTTATTTTTTGCCACTCTTATATTTTTGTCGCCCTGTGCAGCTGCAAATGTTGCATATAGCTTACATACTGCCCTATATATATATATACATACACACACACACACACACACACATATATATGTGGTTTGTGTGATATATGTCACACCAGGTTTCATTCCTTATGGTTTGGCCTCTCTTCACAGACGTCTAGCCGCCAGCTGAGAACGTTCCACTAAGCACGAACTCCGTAGCTCCAGTGATTATTTTGACAGCTCATTTCCCTTTGAAAGAAAAATTCTGAACTCACGGGAGACTGGTGTGACATTGTGTGTTTGTGTGTGTGTGTGTTTGTTGTGTGAAAGAAAGAAAGCGTACATAATACAAATATGTATTACTCTTCTTATCAGAGTTCAAACGGCATTTGTGTGAACGGCCATCATCTAGTTCCACTCTCATCGTATAGTCTTCAAGATGGGGATGTGGTACAGTTCGGCGCTCCTACCTCCTCTCGCGGACAAAGAAAGTTTGAATACAAGTTTTGCTACTCTTTCACGGTAGGAAATTTAATACATTACCGTAGTGCTAACTTCACACAGAAAGCCTTTTCACGCTATAGGCCCATCAGTCTTATTTCGACTCTAGTCACGTTCATTACATTATATACACTTTACGCACAAGTAATATTCTAAACGACGAATTTGATGAAATGGTGGCGGTGATGATGACAACAATGTTGTGATATCGTTGATACTGATTACAAATACACTTACTGTTGTCCCGATACGAGACACCATTTTTCTTTATTTTAAAGCTTTACCCAGGCTGTAGTCCAGGGCCCTAATATAACCTAACGGTTGAACGGGGGTTTCTGGGACCTCTCCCCGGGTGATGCTCATCCGAATGTGGCACTTGGAGTCACCGGATGTTTATCGCTTGGTGGATGTCCTGTTGGGGTTAAATCTTCTTCATTCATTCACTGATTCTGATGTTAATGACGACCTGTGAACTATTAAGTTTTTTTTTTCGGGACCATTGATATGTTGCCCAGTTCTTGATATACTATTTATGATAGTGACAGCACATTTTTCACGCGTGTTACGACCTAATTTTCTATGACATTGCCTTTGTTTTAGGGTTGTTGATTCCAATATGGATGGGTGGTTGTTAGCGTTCTAGTTCAATGACTCATGCATGAAAAAAAAAAACAGCGAACAATATTTTAATGCTGCAGTGACTATCTCGAGGAAACTTCCAAGGAGCCAGAATGTTAAAACTAGTTCTCCTTCTTCTTCTTTGCGTTCACCATCTGTACACTCTGGTGAAAAGTTGTGGTTGTTTGTCCACGTCTGGACTGCAGTCCTGCTCCAGAACCTGAGTGTTGCGTGTGCATCAGTTTTACAGATCATGATTCACTTGAATGCAGACTGTTGGTTCCTTGCCTCTCAGGCAGATGCACTCCGACTTCAAAGGAAGCTCCCTAAGTAGTCGACTCTCACGACATGCTTTTGAGTAGGCAGTAGGTCTATTCTTGTTTTCCCCACAATGGGGCCCCGGAACGCACACGGGGGAAAATTAGTTCTGACAAAGACATCGTGGAGGCAGCTATCTATGTGGCCATGTGGTCAAGCTGCTTGTCTTGCGCTCTGAAGGCATTGGTTTGTTTCATAGCTGCATCGATCGAATCACGATTTTTATTTTTTTATTTTTTACGTACTAGGGGAATGTCACCGGAGCTAAGTTCGTGCTTAGTGCAAAGCTCTTAGCCGGCAGCTAGTCGACTGTAAAGAAACCAAGCCATAGGGAATAAAACCTGGTGCGATGAAGTCAATACTCTCAAAATTAACTTTATGATGGCAGATGGGGGAAAAACTTTCTACTGGATTATAATAATATATTTATGTTATTATTACTTCCATTATTTGTTGCTGATAATATCCATATTTTTCGAGCACTAATTATGTTTTGTTCATATTAGGCTGGAAACATCTCACAGAACAAAAGGATGCGAGAACTGGAAGAAAAGAACAAAGAGCTTGAGCAACAGCTGCAGAAGCACAATCTGGCAATAGAAAAGGTTCAAAGTTGATCGTAATGTTTAACCCATTCAGTACTATGCAACTCCCCGTGCGTTTGTTGGAGCCTGCGTACCTTAACTATTTCCTTCTTTTAATCTTCTTGCCACACTTCTTCATCTTCATCTTCTTCTTTTTCTCTCCCTTCTCTCTCTCTCTCTCTCTCTCTCTCTCTCTCTCTCTCTCTCTCTCTCTCTCTCTCTCTCTCTCTCTCTCTCTCTCTCTCTCATTCATTGTCCCGGTGTGCCATTATATGTCACATAGGGCTCGCAGTCTACTCCCCCATTCCGTTCCTTCCTGTACAATCAATTCCATGTCATGGATGGAATCCATCGAGCAACTTTAGCTTCTCTTAATAACTTTCAATTTAGAGTTTCTCTTGTACGTCATACCCACACCCACCTTTTTTTTTTTTTTTTTTTTGTGTTGCAATCCCTGTATTTACCAAAACAGCACTTGTGTGTTGATTCTCTGTTCGTATTTTCTCAGAATGTGTCCAATATAGCGCCATCTTCTCTGTCTTCTAACTGTTGCTACTAGAGGTTGCTTAGATATTTCTCTTATTTCTTCACCACTCTTAAATTCTTCCCATTTTATGTTCAACAGTCTCCACATGCGTTTGTTTTCGAATAAATTTCGTTCCATGTCTTTAATAGTTCTTCAATTTTCAATGGCACGTGTTGAAACTAAAATTACGTTAATACGTTAACTTAGTTCTCTCTCACAGTGTCGACAATTTAAATCATTCTGACCCAAACATTTAGTCATTGAAATAAAAACTTTATGTGATAAAATAAATGAAACTCCCCATGTGGGTTGTGGAACCCCATTATGGGAAAAACCAGAATAAACCCCCTGCCTTCCCAACAAGCATGTCGTAAGAGTCGACTAAAGGAGAGCTTCCTTTGAAGTCGGAGTGCGTCTGCCTGAGATACAAGGAACCAGCAGTCTACATATTTATAAACAATATCTGTTGAACGGATGTGCACGCAACACTCAGGTTCTGGAACAAGACTAAAGTCTAGAGGTGGACGAACAACAAAAACTATCCGCCGGAGTTTGCAGCCGGTGAAAGAAGAAAATGAGTGAAATAATATATGCAGTGGCGCGGTGATTTATGTCACAGGCGTGAGGGGAAGTTAAGTCCAACATGATGTGTATAAGGAGATACTCCGTACGTCACTCGGGCGCCAGTCCTTAACTATCCTGGTTGTACGGAACCTCACGCAAGACCCCTACAGCACGTCCTCGTCGTGCGCCACGGATAATGTCTCAAATGAGCATTAACAGAGCTGTCAGGGAATCTCGGAGTTCGGCGGCCCCCAGAGGTGTCCTTGTGGCTCTCATCAGCACGCCCCCAAACGCTTGGGTGAAAAATGTTATCAAAACTCATTAGGAACATGAGTAGGTTTGCCAAACGTACAGCCAAAATTACAACCCTTGGTTAAAAGACTGCGGAGTAAAGAGAACATTGTTCACTGCACATCCTCTGTTAACCCTCAGTGTCGTCGTCACCGCGCTGAGGTACACCACAACAGCAACCATCCATAGGCTGGCCATCCTTGTACATCCTCGGTTAACCCCCAGTGTCGTCGTCACCGCGCTGAGGTACACCACAACAGCAACCATCCATAGGCTGGCCATTCATGTACATCCTCGGTTAACCCTCAGTGTCGTCGACACCGCGCTGAGGTACACCACAACAGCAACCATCCTAATTGTCCGACAAAACTAGATCATACGGATCAAAATCTGACCATCAAAATTTGTATTGAACTGAAAAAGACCGAATGTCCACACCCAAAGACCCCACTCGCCCGAGTGTTGGGACAAAACTGATAACGATATACCTGATGCAGGATGTAAAATTCTGTCGGGCTAACGGCTCGTCAAAGAAATCTAACGTGCGAAGGAAAAAAAAGAATGTACCTATCTGTGTGGTCACAAAAGTCCAAAACCCACGGGCTGCTCCCCGCTGACTTCCAGAGGGCGCAGCCCCTCTCGAGCGGGAGGCCTGATACGGTTGTGAGGTTAAGCAGGCATGTGCAGGACGTGACGATTCCTTGGGTGAGCCCAGAACCAGAGCGCCATGTGCAGGCTCTGCATGCATGGAAGCCTCCTTGGATGGCGGGGAATGCCCATGATCTGCCCCTGCCTTCCCTTAAGGGCTAACTGTTCCACAGGGGGCTGCCCCAAAGGGGTACTCCGAGGGCAATACCTGCGGAGGAGACAAAGTGGACACCACACAAATCAGGCAACGTCTCGACCCACACAAAACAATGGCCACAGTCAACCTAGAAATAGGCCTGACGTCTTCCTTCGAAGTCGGAGTACAGCTGCCCATGAGGCAGGGAAATGGAAAACGGTTGTACACGCAAAAATCAGGTCCAGGTGAAAGCCAAAAGTCCAAGCGGACGATTAACCGGGACCTTCCACTGGAATTCACAGCCGGTGATCGATATAAAAAAAAAAAATATATGCCTGGCTCTAAAAGAGTTAATGAATATTTGACTGTATAATGTCTGTTCACTCATTAAATGCCGAGACCCTTAAAACTCTTCCAGTAGACCACACAAATCATAATTCGTTTGCTGATGTTTCCAAGAATTATGTAATGTTCCACGGCACGGGGATTTCCGTCACTGGCGTGAGGGGGAAGTTAAGTCTGATGTGATGTGTTAGTTAGTTAGGTTTTCATCATTGCACTCCGGACATGTCCATAGGTGCTCAGATCCTCCCCTCAGTATAAACCCCAACGTCCGATGGCTAATAGTACCAGTTCTATGTTGATTAACAAGTCTTAACGTGAGTTCAGACTTCCCTCAGGGTGTATTCAACGTCCGATGGCGACTATTTACCAATTCAGAACAACCCGTAGACGGTCAAGGAGAACGCGAACAGGCAAGCACGGTGGCGCCTGCAGGAAGCGACTGAAATGTGATGTGTATAAGGAGATACTCTGCACCTCACACAGGGTGCCAGCTTGTTCTGTGCTGTTTTACGGATCCTCACGCAAGACTCCTGCCACACGTCCCCTTTGTATGCCACGAAAATGGCTCACATGAGCATTAACCCAGCCGGCAGGGGATCTCAGAGCTAGTGAGTCCTAGAATTGCAGTGCCCAGAAATCTTCTGGCTGGCATCAGCCCGCTTGGAAACATCTCCCTCAATTGGTTCATGGAATTTCAGAACCAGTGTTACCACAGCGTGTATTTTATATGTTTCTTCTCAGACGCGCAGCTCTTAATTTGTCTTCGATCACTGTCTCCCTTACTCCTATTATCTTCTTGATTTGCCTTCCCCACGCAGCACGACCACAAGGATTCCCCCCCCCCCCACCCCACGAATCTATCTCAAAACCTGAATCATTCATGTCTCGTCTGTACACATCTTTATATCGTAGTAGAGGCCGACCTGAACACCGTCGACCTATCTGTTATTTCCCATAGAAGATGTCCTTAGGGACGCTACCCCCACTCCACCCCCTCCCCATCCCCTATCCTTTAAGTGTGATCTGGCCATCTGAGTCTTCAAGCGAAAACTGTTGTGGTTCCTGCTCTTTGCAATAAATACCCCAGTGCTGGTGGTTATCTTGTCTTGCCACTTTATGCCCCGATTCTTCCATAAAAATGTTTTCTTCTTCTTCGCGTTCACCAGCTGTACACTCTAGCGGAAAGTTCTGGTTGCTCGTCCACTACTGAACTGCAGTCTGCCCAGAACATCTAATTTCTTACTAATACGATGACAGCCAAACATCCACTTTCACACCTCTGAAATAGCTCTGTGCAGCTCTTTACATAAATTATATTATAAGCAGTTCACCACTGAATCCACGTGAGGCGCGCGTGAAAACTACAGAACATTTCTTGCAAGAATGTCCCTTGTGCAGCCCTTTACAAAGAGGATACTGGCCCAGTGAGTCAACACCGTACTGTGTATACATTGCTAGCTATATATTTTTTTATAGATCAATCAGCACTTGATGGATGATGTAGTCAGCATCACACCGGCCGCCTCAGCCTGAAAGGACGTTACTTGATACAGATTTTAAGCTGGATCTACCTGAAAGTTCCGGTCAGTTTTAAAGGGGAAAAAGCACGTCGACGTACATTCGAACCCTAGACTTTCGGACTGAAGGTCCAGCGTTTAGCCACTGCCGCGGCTCTGCTGTTTTGGTTAATCAAACTATTGAAATGAAAAATTAGAGACAGATGTGAGATGAATTGTTTAGTCACAGAGATTTACTGGTTGCTATGCTGTGTTTGTTGAATTATACATAGCTAAAATCAGAGTTATGAATTTGGCACCATTTATAATATTTGCAGTTTTATTAAGATCTAAAGTTAAACCTATTCTGCAGAGTAACAAGATAAAAGAATTGGAGCTGAAGAACAAAGAGCTTGAGCAGCAGTTGCAAAATCAAAATCTGGCAATGGAAATGGTAATAACATCTTTCATTTGTTAACTAACCTTCCCGTGTGAGTTCTGGGCCCATTTGGGGAAGGGGGGGGGGGGGGGAAACTCATACGCTAACTAACAAACATGTTGTAAAAAGCCACTGATTATAGATGATTCCTTCGAGGTCGGAGTGCCTCTCTTCGAGAGGTAAGGAACCCACTGTTGACGGATGAACAGTGTACGGCTGTAAGCCCCAGGTTTCAGGGCCGCATGGCTAGTGCAGTCGCCATCAACTATGCAAATTATAATTGTTATTTGTGTCCCATACGGCAGAATCAAATATTAAAAAACCTATGACTTACTGAGGTTTTAACCCGGGTCTCCTAGATGAGAGGCCAGCGTTCTAACAGCTCCTCCGTAAAACTCTCAACTGTTACTGCTGTCTGTATGTACCACTTTTAAAGGGCCGTGTAGACAGGAGGTCGTGAGCCTGAGCATTTAGGGCCGTACGGCTAATGCTGTCGCCATAGACTGTACAGGTTACGAACTCCACTCATAAGTAGACCGGTCCCTCGTCGTCAACTGTTTCGGCTCATTATCCTCCTAGGCAATCTCGGAGGGTGGGCCGGCCTGGTTCATGACTCCAGGACGGGGACATCTCCTGCTGTGCTACACGGACGTTCGAACAAGACGAGGTGGTGCTTATGCAACAGGTATTGTGAGGTTTGGTGATATATATTGTCACTGCGGTAGCAAATTAAGCGCCTACCTTAACGACCAGAGTGACAAGCTTACGGTTGGTACATCGGACATACGTTAGGCTTTGGCGATTGGCAGAGATAAACTGGCAGACTTTAATCGGACACTTTGGCTTTAAAGGGATGTAAAAGTTCGTTTTTTGCTACAGCTCGGACCAGTCTACCGAGTTCTATCCCCTACGACGTTCCGTTGCGTCCACAGCCAGCTCGTAGCCCTTTCGACCGCTTCACCCAGTTGTTTTAGTGCCCGTTTCCGTTTCTTTCCCCGAATGCCCAGGTGCATTAGTACATTGTATGTGAAGGCGGAGATTAGCTTTTTTGCGCCTGCCTCGACGCAAAGAGTTTAACTGTTTAAGCCTCATCTCTCCTGAGGCCAGCCCCCAATTAACAGTATTTTTTTTTCGAGCTTGCAAAGGTGATTTTCTTCCATCCGCGACTCCTACGGCATGCGAAGCTCTATCAGGATAAACTGGCGTTTTTCTGCTGAGTGCAGACCCGTGATGTGTTGTTTCTGCCTTAAGCTCTCTGAACAGACTCCTCGATCATGGTCGCAATCTTAAGACACCCCGGAACACCTGGGATGCCACCTTTTTGCACCGATGCATCTACGTATTTATTCAGCATTTAGTTCTGTGTGAGCCTGCGTGTCATGATGAGAAGTATATTTTACCCTCAACGTCAGCGAGACAGGTCTGATTTGGGATAGATTAGAGGAGTCTCGCTCCTTGGGAATGAAGACGCCGTTTGCTCTCTGCCACTCTGTACATATGTACTTTCGGCTCCACGCTAACCTAAGCAAGAGGTGAAGCATTCGGAGGACTGTCGAACAACGTTTATATAACACGTACGGGACACCGCCGGGACCCGGGGCATTCGACACTAGATAGGTGATTTCAACATCAAACCGGTCGCCTTTACTTCCCAAGACTTTACCTGGTACCCATCTAAGCCTGGGTCCACCCCGGAGCTAATGTTATTAAAAATTTGAACCTACGACGTTCAGATCCGTGGGAGAATGTCCAACCACTACACCATGGCGGCTCCCCATAGAAGGTATAGTTTTGGGGGAAAGCGACAGAAGTAAACTAGCCTGACTGTGGACAGAGAATATCAAGAGCAATAGTCTAGGTACGAAAGTTCACGAGGTGGAAAGCTCGGCAAGAAATCGAGTAGATTACCAACGTTCCTTGATGAGAGTGACAAAGGACCGATCGATATGGTCGTGACAATATTTGTAGTAATCATATTTCGGGACCGCGAATGTTCCGTTTTTAACAAAAATGTAGAGGTTTACCCGGAAAGTGGCCAGACCGCTTACCATGCGCCCTGAAAGTCGTGGGTTCGTTTAGCGGACGTCCCCTTCGGCTTAAGGGTGCAGTTTTTAACGGAGATCCCCGTGGGGTCATAGCTGAAGCTAGTAGTTCGTACTTTATGCTACGCTATTGGCAAGCGGCTAGCCATTCTGCAGAGAGAGACCGAGCCTTGATGGATCCAGCCGGGTCAATGAAGTCGATACTCTTGACTTTTACCAAATTTATTTCTAAATGTCTCTGTTTGACTAACAGATTTTACAGGACAGGCGGAGAGAAAGAGCGTCATTGCTGGAAGAAATTAACGAAAGTCACAAGGAGAGTACCGAGGCAAAAAGACAAGCACTTCAAGTAAAGGATGATGTTCTTTCCAACTTTACGGAACTGATGGATGTAACTGTGCAATGTTCCATATGCACCGAATATTTTATTAAGGTCAGTTTTCTTTAGGGGTGGAGAAACAACAGTGTCACCACCACCACCACCCTCATACCGTCGTTTCCTTCATCCTCGCTGCCATGTCATTTAGCTTCATTCTCATCTCTTTTTTTCTGTCTTCTTCTTCTTCTCCTGCTCCGACTCCTTGTTGTTGTTGTTGTTGTTGTTGCTGTTGTTGTTCTTCTTCTGCTGCTGCTTTTTCTTCTTCTTCTTCTTCTTCTTCTTCTTCTTCTTCTTCTTCTTCTTCTTCTTCTTCTTCTTCTTCTTCTTCTTCTTCTTCTTCTTCTTCTTCTTCTTCTTCTCCTCCTCCTCTTTCTCCATTTCATTTGTCTTCTTCTTCTTCTTCTTCTTCTTCTTCTTCTTCTTCTTCTTCTCCTCCTCCTCCTCCTCCTCCTTCTTCTCCATTTCATTTGTCTTCTTCTTCTTCTTCTTCTTCTTCTTCTTCTTCTTCTTCTTCTTCTTCTTCTTCTTCTTCTTCTTCTTCTTCTTCTTCTTCTTCTTCTTCTTCTTCTTCTTCTTCTTCTTCTTCTTCTTCTTCTTCTTCTTTTTTATTTTCTTTTGTTCCTGCTTCTTCTTCTCCTCCTCCTCCTTTCGATCCTCTACCTCAGTCTCTTCAACCTCCTCCTTCTTCTCCACTTCATCGTTCGTTTTCTTCTTTTCCTCACTGAGGCAGTTTTTTGTAAATTGACTTTTATCAAAGCAGCATAATATGGCTTCCTGTATGTAGTCAGTGTGATATTTATCCCAGAATTCATCGAATTCTAGCGGGTTTATAAAGATAAAAGTAAATCACCATACACACAATAGGAATTGATCAGTAGCATGTCGTTTGTGGAACGTCGCTCTCATCACAGCCTGCGTGACAGACTCGGTCTAAGTCTGCAGTTCTCCTGCCTCGTTCACTTTTGTACTCAATGAGTCGCTTGTATCCGGTTCCCTTGAAAAGGCTAGAATATTTAAGTATGGCATAAGAAAATAGTCCTTTAATTACTTACGTGATTTTTTTTGGGTCCCTTCTCCACGCCTTTAGGCTATAGGGCATAAAGGGCTAGACATAAATTTTTTAGACCAATTGACACATGATGGGTGATGTGGTCAGAATCACGCCGGCCGCCATTACTTCCCGGGACTACACCCGGTACCCACTCAAAGCTGGGTCGACCTGGGAGTCAAGATAATTTACTGATCATACTATGAGCCTGAAATCTGTCTGTCTGTCTGTCTGTCTGTCTGTCTGTCTGTCTGTCTGTCTGTCTGTCTGTCTGTCTGTCTGTCTGTCTGTCTGTCTGTCTGTCTGTCTGTCTGTCTGTCTGTCTGTCTGTCTGTCTGTCTGTCTGTCTGTCTGTCTGTCTGTCTGTCTGTCTGTCTGTCTGTCTGTCTAACGGTCCGTTTGTCTGTCTGTCTGTCTGTCTGTCTGTCTGTCTGTCTGTCTGTCTGTCTGTCTGTCTGTCTGTCTGTCTGTCTGTCTGTCTGTCTGTCTGTCTGTCTGTCTGTCTGTCTGTCTGTCTGTCTGTCTGTCTGTCTGTCTGTCTAACGGTCCGTTTGTCTGTGGGTGTTTAAATACTTGCCAAAAAAAAATAAAGCAAGAATAATATAGATAGACTTGTTGTTTTCCCTCCTTCAGGCAACCAGTTTGAACTGTTCGCATGTGTTCTGCAATCTATGCATCAATGAATGGATGAAAATTAAAAAACTGTGCCCAAACTGCCGAACCCCTGTCACCTCCATGACAAAAATTCCTGCTTTGGATAAATGCATTGACAGAATGGTAGAACAGTTCAGTGATGATTTTAGAGGGCGCAGACATGAGTTAATAAACCAGAGAAAAGGAAAGTATATATTTTACATTAGAAGCCTTTAGTCTTCTTCTTCTTCTTCTTCTTCTTCTTCTTCTTCTTCTTCTTCTTCTTCTTCTTCTTCTTCTTCTTCTTCTTCTTCTTCTTCTTTTTCTTCGTCTTCTTCTTCTTCGTCGTCTTCTTCTTCTTCTTTTTCTTCTTCTCCTCCTTCATCTCTTCCTCCTTTTCTTCCTCCTTCTCCCCCTCATCCTTTTCCTTCTTCTTTTTATTCTCAGCTGGGGCTCGGGGGTGGTTTGTGGTAAAAAAGCATAATCATCAGCATCAAGTGCCATGCCGACGGGTGAGGCGACCATGTCCCTGCAGGGTCTGTTGTGGTGTCAACTGTTAGCTGATGAGCTGTGGTTATGGTAGTATAACTATAGAAGGCGACAGAAAGTTTTCTACAAACATGCCGTAGTGGTTTCATGTTCATCTGGATCGCCTAGGCATATGGTGCTGTGACTTTGTTTCGAGTAAAATTTATGGCAAAATGGCAGGTGTCGTAACACAGAGTAAGGTGCCAGCGGCTCAGTAAGGGAGTCAAGTTGTGTGTCAGCTAGCTGCATGAAGGTTTTAGGGGTCATCAGGCTCTTGTGAGCATATGGTGCTATAACGTTATTTGGAGTAAACATGAAAAGTTGTTGTAAAATGGCGGATGCCGTGTCAGTATTATGTACTGGTGGTGCAGTAAGGGGTCAGTTGTTATGTCAGCTAGTTATGTGAGTGGTTTTAGGGGTCATCGCTACGTATGGTGCTATGACTCCTTATACAGAGTTACAAAAATAAAAAATTATATGAAAGGGGAGGGGATGGCATGTCAAGTGAAAACAAGAGGCCGCCATATGGTGGTATATTTAAAATGGTATATTTTAATTAGTATCCTACTTTAGCAAATTTGTTCTTGATTTCCAGCTGATGAAAAGAGGACTGATGATGCAGATGCTAGTGTTTTAAGAGCCTTAAACGCATGGTTGAGTGCCAGGGACAGAAGAATGGAAGCAGTCGCAGCTATAGTGAGAGCAGTAGCCCACGTAGCAGTCGCACATACCAGGCCAACAACAATCAGAAGGACAGTAGCTTTGACTAGAGCAGAAGTCATGACACAAGTTCAAGCAATAAGCAGGTCAGAGACTGCACGAAGGGCAGCAGCGTTAACCAAAATAACAGTACGGACAGGGGCAGAGGCCTTTACAAAGGCAAGACTACTCACGACCACAAAAATATTTGCTGGTTCAGCAGTTCTTCAAAAGGCGCTAGCACTTACAAAGGCAACAGCAATAACGAAGTCAAAGGCACTGACTAAATCAACCATCTTCAGAAGCGCGGCAGCTCTAGCAAAATCAGCAGCCACTTCAGGGGCTAAAACTCTGAGTAAATCAGCATTTCTAAGAAGAGCAGCAGAACTTGCAAACCTTTCGGCACAGGACGGTTCAGAAGCACTCACAAAGTCGTTGGTGGGTAAAAGAGCTGTAGCACTGACAAGAGCAGTAGCAAATACACTGGTAGAAGCGCTTCAACGAACAGCGGCTGTGAGAAGGGCTGTGGTCATTTCTAAAGCTGTAATTACACGGGCGGCGGCACTGAGAAGGGCTCATACACTTGCAAAGTTGACAGAACTGATAAGGACAAAAGCGCTCAGAAAAGCAGTAGAAGTGAAGAGAACAGCAGCTCTAATAAAAGCCTACGCCGTTGCTGGCGTAGCAAGGCTGAAAAGTGCTGCTGTTTATACCAGAACTATAACAACAGCACTGGCGGAGCAATCATCACCCGGGAGAGGACTCAGGGCTTCGGGAATACAGTCAGGTTAGTCAAAATACTGTTATGATTTAAAACTGAATTAAATTAGTCTTCGCAATCATTTTTATAGTTGTGGCCTCCTTTTGAACTAGCAAAATAACCCTACGACCTCTGTCGATTTGTGTACATGAAGTATATGTGAACGGGTAAAGAAAACACATTCTCTATTGTGTTTAAACTATAACGGCTATCCTCCGAACAACGGTCCTAAATTATCGAGGCGGACAATATGCCCAAACAGGGCCTCAGTCACGTGTCAATTGCGCACTTCCGTCGTCTTAAAATGAGCGCTTTCGGCAACTTTCGCCACCGCCGAGAGTATCACCCACGCTGTCACGAGGCATGGATTGAGGCTAAACTAGATGGCTAGGACTCACGAGCATCAGCTACAGTATCTCCTGCAGCTTCCTTCATTTTATTTGCTCATGAGTCCTAGTCATCTAGTTTAGCCCGAATCCACGCCGCGTGAGCGGCGTTTGGGATACACTCGGCGGTGGCGGAAGTTCGCAAATCTGCGGTGGCGTTATAGTCCCCGAAAGTGCACAATTGACACGTGACTGAGGCCCTGTTATGGTATATTATATATATATAATTTAGGACCGTTATTCGGAGGATAGCCAACTATAACTGTTACTAATTATTACCGAAAAATTCAATGATGGTCTTACTTGCGTCTGAAAAAAATCTCTTCAGAATTTCCTTTAAAATTTCTAAGTCACCGTAGCCTCATTTGGCATTTAGTTTATTACTTGCTAGATCATGATATATTGGTCTCGAGGCATGGTGTCCGCCTCGAATGCTACAGGTTCCGTGATCAAGCACCAGTGAGGGCTGAGATTTTTTTTTTTTTTACGTGGATTTCTAGTAATATCACCCTGGTCTCTGGGTAGTAAGACCGGACGCTCGTGTGTATTGTTGCGCGAAAAAAAATCCTTGGCAGTTGGAAATCGAAACGATTAGCCTAACAGCGCTGCTCGGGCAAAATTTTGTCTTAAAAATCTACCCAAGTATTTCAGGATCCTCACTAGTGCCACAAAGTTGGTGATTCTTTGATTCAGACTTGAGTTAGAAGAAGAACGGAGCACTTATGGGTTACATCCGTGTGCCATGATGTTGCTCCGTTGAAGAAACATAAACACAAATGATCATGACATAAAGAAGTGTTTAAATTCACGTTTTCTGTTTGCTTTCACCGGCTGGAAACTCCGGCTGAAAGTTCAGTTTGTTCTTCTATTCGTTGTCATTGGCTTTGTTATAGAACAGCGGTTCAGCCTGTGGGTCACGCCTGTAGCCGGGGGTCGAACTACCCTTTCACATGGCTCGCCTAAGACCATCGGAAAACACAAATTCACTAAAGTTATTAAGTAGCAACGAAAGTAATTTTATGGTTGGGGGTCACTACAACATGAGGAACTAAATTAAAGGGTCACGGCATTAGGAAGGTTGATAACCACTGTTCTAGAACCTGAGGTTTGTCTGCACATCCGTTTTATGTTTTTCGTATTTGTATGCAGACTGTTAGTTCCTCGTCTCTCAGACTGATGCACCCACTTCGAAGGAAACACCCCTAATTAGTCGCTTATTATGATTTGATTCTTAGGGGCAGTGGGTTTACCCCCCCCCCGCCCCTTTTTTTCCCCAATGGGGTCCCGGAACCCACACAGGGAGCATTTAAAAACTAGAAGGTATGCCTACCATTGGAAATCACTCACACATGTCGGGTTAAAGGCCCAACCGGGGAGAAGGAATAGTACTACAACCCCAACACATTATGTCGTACAAAGCGACTAATGAGGAGTTTCCCTAAGAAGTCATTGTTGAGGTAAGAACTGACATCACAGCACTCGGGATATTCCCATAAGCTCACCGTTCTCATTTTCAGCAGCTATGTCCATCTTGCTTTTTCTCTGAGTGTAGAGTGTCGACTAAATCTCCTGGTAACTCTTAGTTGTATCATTCTTTCCAGATCGTGACGTTGTTTACTTGCTCCCAAAGGACTTGACCACCTCTAGCTTGTAATGCATAAATTCCTCCACCCATTGGCGCCGAACCAGCCTCTATATCTGTCTGTTCATTTCCCAACACTCTTTCCCAGAAGAAAATACCAAATGAACTCTAACTACCAGGGACTTCTGAATAGATGCTTGCTACTCTGCACGGAATATGCCTGTCTCTACCTGCTCTAACCTGCTTTGTGAGTTGGTTAAAATCACGATATGTAGGTGCAGCTGGTTTTCAAGCCAGCTGAAAGCTGATTGACTGCCTCCACCTCCATTCTCCTACTAGATGCAGTACCAATGGTTTGCTGGTTCGGCGCCACTGGGTGGTGCATTTATGCATGACAAGCTAGAGATGGTAAAGACCCTTTGGGGGGCAAGTATACAAAGCAGAGGCAGGCATTGATTATTATAGTCCAGAAAGAATGGTACACTAGTCTATGTTGCACCCAAGCGTCGTCCATTCACTTTCGCAATGAATCCTTAATGCACTTTTTTCTGTCTCTCAGCACAGAGCGATCCGCATAAATAATCTCATCACATGGATGGGAAGCTTGTACTTTCCAAGATTTCCCTCTAATCAATCCGTTACCCTTAGCAGTATCCAGGCCTTCCTGAAGAATGTGGTTTCTGTTGGCGGCTACCCTGAGGTAACCCTGCGACCTTGCATGCATATTTGCCTGACAGGCGAGGAAGCAAAGGTTTGCACACAAATAAGCGAGATCTGTAAAACGGATGTGTACGCAAAACTCTAGTCATTTAACAAGACTAAAGTCTAGAAGTGGGCGAACAACTATAACTTTCTGCCGAAGTTTACAGTTGGTGAAGGCGAAGAAAAACAAAAACTATACGGTAGCAAAAGAAAGAATGGCTTGGCGTAAGTTAGTTGTGGGCGTATGCTCCACCGAGGATACTGGTCGGACAAATGATGACGAAGAAGACAATAAAAAGAAGCGAGGATTCATATAGGTACTGCCCCGTGTGGGTTCCGGGGCCCTATTGTGGGGAAAACAAGAATAGACCCACTGCCTCCCCAAAAGCATGTCGTAAGAGTCGACTAACTGGGGAGCTTCCTTTGAAGTCGGAGTGCATCTGCCTGAGAGGCAAGGAACCAGCAGTCTACATTCAATTGAATCAGATCTGTAAAACTGATGCACACGCAACGCTCAGGTTCTGGAGCAGGACTGCAGTCCAGAAGTGGACGAACAACCATAACTTTACGCCAGAGTGTACAGCTGGTGAAGAAGAAGAAGAAGATATAGGTACTGTAATCGATTCAAATAACGCGAGAATATTCACTTCTTATGTAGCTAATTTCCGTTTGAAATTCTCCTCAGATATTTTCCGCAATGCAGCTCAACTACTCTAAAGAACAGGTATCTATGCTGTTGGCACATGAGGCAGGTTTATCTTCGGAAAAAGTGTTTAAAAAAAAAAAAAAAGAAATAATACAAACGAAAAAAAAAAAAAAGCTTTTCCTTTGAAGGCCATATCCACAATTACAACATTGTTTCAGAATTTTCCTAGGCATTTTATCATCGGCGACCAGGTTGCCTATTGGTTCGCCGGTCGACAACTTCGTCGCCGGCCGGGACAGAATTTGCGTCTGTCTCCTTTGATCAATCAACATTGTAGGCGTCCTTTTCAGGGCTCTTTTTGGCGTGCAATGTTAAGCCATTTTATATGGCGCACATAACCTAGTCACAATAGTCACCTAAAGCTCCCCCATTCGAGGGATGCTTGTTGATGGTGAATGGAACAGGCATTTCAGGACTACGGAAGCTCAACATCTATGGTAACAATCAGATATTCTAGATTTCCTTCGTATACATTTCTCTTTCAGCAGCAGGGGCAAGTGGTGTTGTATCATTAAAAAAAAAAAATAATATTTTTAGGATTTGGATTAATAGAAAAACAAATTACAAGCTTGACCCTCTTTTAACCACCTGAAGTCCTGCTATATTAAGTGGTGGTTCATTTGCTAACTGAGCTTGAATTCTGATTCTGTGTGGCGATAAATTTCGCCTGAGTGGTTATTTGTGGGAAAATATCTAGCTTGGCGGCTTTCGGTAGAGCTGTTTTCTGGTGTTTGGGAGGGGAGTCTGTTAGTCCTGAAAAGGGCTAACAGATTGTCTGGGCTGGCCGGAAACGGGTATGGATGGGGTCTCCTGGTTTCTGGCTTCTGCTATCTGGTCTGGCGCTGTCTGTGTTTCCTCCGTTTGGCGAACTGGCTTGTCCTCACAGATGGTGGGCTAGTTTTTGGGTTTCCCTCATTGGCTAAATAATTGGCTGATTCGAGCATTAAAAATACCTTTATACAGTGACTCTTTATACAGTCGATCTTTTCTTTCTTTCTTTCTTAAAACAAAATTATTTTTGTAATGCGCAGGTTTCATAAAATAAGATGCCTGTAAACAAAGATATAATAAAGAATACTTAACATAAAACTATGCCTTAAACATTGTCATCTATGTTCTCATAGGGTGTTTTACTGTTCTATATATATTTT